TGTCAGCTGAGAGGTCCTGGCGGGTTTGTTTAGGCAGCTGCCTGGCGTAGTTTGAGCAGAACAGGCCATGGGTGTGATTCTGCAGAAAGGGCCTGGTGTCTGCTGTGGTCACGCCGGGGGCGGGGAAGGGCGGGCGGGTGGATGGATGGGGGTGGGTGCACTGCACAGGGGCCTTGTCTGGGCCGGGCAGAGCATGCCTATGGGGGCTCCAGTGGGAGGGACTGCAGCCAGGATGTGGGAGGGCAGGGGGAGGTTCTGCGAAGTGCTGGGGGAGGGGGTGACTGGAAAACAGATTTCAAGTCATAAAGTTGGCTAAGAACAGGCTGGAAGAGCTGTCTGCTAGGAGGAGGAGCTGGGGTCCTCTTCCATCTTGTCTTCCTCTGCCTGACTGCGTGATCTCGGGCAAGTCCTGGCTCTTCTCTGGGCCTCAGTTTCCCCTTCTGTAGAATGGGGGTGGTGGGCTCAGTGGTGTTGGGCCTCAGCTGGGTTATGTGGGGCAGGGCCCCCTGATGGGCCCTGACAGTGAGAGTCCCTTTGGCAGAGTCCCGTTGGCAGGTCCTGGACTGCCTGGGTGACTCGCCCTTCTCTGCAGGAGGCGTGATGCAGGGGCTGCGTCTGCTCTGCTGGGCGGCTCTCCTGGGCCTGGCGCAGGCCTGCCCTGAGCCCTGCGACTGCGGGGAGAAGTACGGCTTCCAGATTGCTGACTGTGCCTACCGTGACCTGGAGGCTGTGCCGCCGGGCTTCCCCGCCAATGTGACCACGTTGAGCCTGTCGGCCAACCGGCTGCCGGGTTTGCCGGAGGGCGCCTTCAGGGAGGTGCCCCTGCTGCAGTCGCTGTGGCTGGCGCACAACGAGATCCGCACGGTGGCCGCTGGCGCCCTGGCGCCTCTGGGCCATCTCAAGAGCCTGGACCTCAGCCACAACCTCATCTCTGACTTTGCCTGGAGCGACCTGCACAACCTCAGTGCCCTCCAGTTGCTCAAGATGGACAGCAACGAGCTGACCTTCATCCCCCGAGACGCCTTCCGCAGCCTCCATGCCCTGCGCTCGCTGCAGCTCAACCACAACCGCCTGCACACGCTGGCCGAGGGCACCTTCGCCCCGCTCACTGCACTGTCCCACCTGCAAATCAACGACAACCCCTTCGACTGCACCTGCAGTATCGTGTGGCTGAAGACGTGGGCCTTGTCCACGGCCGTGTCCATCCCAGAGCAGGACAACATCGCCTGCACGGCACCCCACGTGCTCAAGGGCACACCGCTGAGCCGCCTGCCCCCGCTGCCCTGCTCCGCGCCGTCGGTGCAACTCAGCTACCAGCCCAGCCAGGACGGTGCCGAGCTGCGGCCTGGCTTCGTGCTGGCGCTGCACTGTGACGTGGACGGGCAGCCGGCCCCCCAGCTCCACTGGCACATCCAGACGCCCGGCGGCACCGTGGAGATTGCCAGCCCCAATGTGGGCACTGACGGGCGTGCCCTGCCTGGCTCGCTGGCGGCCAGCAGCCGGCCACGCTTCCAGGCCTTTGCCAATGGCAGCCTGCTCATCCCCGACTTTGGCAAGCTGGAGGAGGGCACCTACAGCTGCCTGGCCACCAACGAGCTGGGCAGTGCTGAGAGCTCAGTGGACGTGGCACTGGCCACACCTGGAGAGGGCGGTGAGGACACACTGGGGCGCAGATTCCACGGCAAAGCCGCTGAGGGCAAGGGGTGCTACACCGTTGACAACGAGGTGCAGCCATCAGGGCCGGAGGACAATGTGGTCATCATCTACCTCAGCCGGGCCGGGAGCCCTGAGGCTGCAGTGGCGGGAGAGGCGGCCCCTGGGCAGCGGCTCCCAGGCCTGCTCTTGCTGGGCCAGAGCCTCCTCCTCCTCCTCTTCCTCACCTCCCTCTAGCCTCGCCCTGGCCGCTGGGCTGCAGCAGCCCCAGGCCTTCCCTAACTCCACCCCGACCCTGCCACGGCCCAGTGAGCTGCAGGGGTCTGCAGTTGGCAGCTGCTGAGGCCTGCCGGGGTGGCTTTGCATTTTCCTACCTCCCCTCTAATCTCTTCTAGAGCACCCTCCACTCCCAACTTCTAGGCCTGCTCCCAGCTAGTGACTAGGATAGGATTTGATCCCCTAAATCGCTGTCCGTCCGTGGAGCTGTTGCTGCTAACAGCATTGCCTGTGCTCCCCGTCAGGGCCACAGGGTCATGCCCTCCCGGGAGCCTAGCGGTGGGGTTCCAGGCCCTGTGACCCACACGGCCCGGCAAGGGCCAGGTGGGCGGGGCTGGGGCTGGGGCTGGGCTGGGAGCAGCCTGAAGCACACAGGGCACAGGGAGGGGGACAGGATGTATGCAGGGCAGTGGTGGCGTGGCCCTGAGTCTCTTCATGACCTGCTCATGCTCCTCCTGCCTCCTGCCCCTTGGGGGCTCTGGAGTCTGTCTGTCCTCATCTCAGACTGAGCTGCAGGATGGGGGATGGGCCTTCCCCTGGAACTGCCTTCTTCAGCCTGGGCACCTGCCCCTCCCTCCTTCCTCCCCAAGTGCGCATCTGTAGCCTGCCTGTCCCGGAGGCCAGGCCGGCCGGCCTGGGGTGGCAGGGAAATAAACAGCATTTCTGATGCTCCCCTGTGTTCGCCTGGAGTTTCGTCTGGATCTAGGAGCCCCTGTGGGGATAGACTCGGGGGCTGAGAGTCGGGGCAGCCAGCCTGCCTGCCCACATGTGATGCGGACCTGTGAGACCCACGCAGGCCACGTGGTGGGCCAGGGGCTGGGCCTCTGGGGAGCGGAGCTGCAGATGTTCCCTCCCCTGACACTAGCCCACAGGAGGCCGGAGCCTCACAACTGTCACAGAGGGTTCCCTGGGATCGCTGGTGACTCCGAGTGGGGCTCTGTGTCAGCAGTGGCTTCAGGAGGCATTTTCAGAAACGGGCGGGGAAGTGGGAGTGCCTGGGTTGTGTGGCCCCTTCTGCCGTCCTGCTCCTGGAAGACAGTTAGGAATACAGAAAGCAGGGACAGGCGAGGCAGAACGAAGGAGGAGGGAGGAGAGGGGGACACGGGACAGGGGCAGAGAAGACCCGAAGGAGAGCCGGAGGGAAATGACTCGCACTGCCCTGCCCTCCAGGAGGGAGGAATGGGATTGCAAGCAGAAAGCCCAAATAGGGGTGCAGGTCCCCACAGGAATCTTTCCCCACAAAGCAGAGGGTCAGTGACGACCGGGTCAGTAGGTACAAGGAGGGGGTGCTGACAGTGACCTCCAGGTTGCTCAGAATGGGGGCACACGGGTGGGTCTGAACCTGGAGATTCTGCAGAACCCCAGATCTGTGCGGGTCAGAGATGTGTCTCTCTACTTCCTCCATCCTGCCCCTTTCAAGATTGAGGGAGCTGCACACAGGGACGATGACCCAGAGCCCCCGGGACTGCTGAGCTCAGCAAAGTGGAGGCAGGAGGCCAAGGAGTCTGGGGTAGCAGCTGGGAGCCCTGGAGGCTGGCCAGCCCCTCCCCCGTCCACATACAGCGCCTCCCCTCCCCTCACCCCTCACCAGCTTGCAGCTCTGGCTGAGCTGATGTCATCAGCAGCCAGTGTCAAGAATGACTCCACATCTGGTGGAAAGCAGCAGGATAGAGCCGAATCCCATGTGCTGTGCCACCTTGGGTAAGTCACTGCCCATGTCTGGGCTTCAGTTGTCTCAGAAGTCAAATGATGTGGTAGGACAGGGTACTGCTTAAGGGTCCAATCAACTCTGATTATCTAAGGCTTGATAATCCTGGCCTAAGCTGGGTCCCCGATGTCCCTGGCTCTATTCACAGGGATTGGTCCTTGAAGCAGGACCTGGACCTAAGACCCGGTCAGGGCAGCAAGGGAACAGCTGCGCTGGGCGAACTGTCTATGCCCTGCTGTAAGGTCTTCCATGGCCCCGATGTGCTCCAGGCAAAGCTGAATTCCCAGCCACCATTCACAGCCCTCTGGCCCTTCTGTGTCGTTCAGCCCCCTCTCTGCTCCTTCTTGGAACTGCAAATGAATTGTTCCCATAGTGCTCCGCGGTGTGTCATCCACTGCACCTCTGCTTACGCTGTTCCTCGACCTGGGCACCACCTCCCTGTTCTTCATTTGGCTAAGTCAGCCTTTGAGACTTGGCTCAGGCACCACCTCCTCCAGAAAGCCTTCCTGGATATTCCCCCACCCCAGTGTGGACCAGGTCCCCTCCTCTGTGCACACAGTCCTGGGGTCCAGTGACCCAGTTGGATCACACTCTACTGTGACTCTGTTTCCTTGTCAAAGCAGAGACTGAATCTGGGTTCTCCCTTGTGACCCTGTCAGTCGCTGACACAGGGCCAGGAAGACAGTTTTCCAGCAGGCTGCAGTGGGATTGGAGCTTGCCCTCTTTGGCCTCTTCAGGGCAGCCTCAAACATGGGTTTGAGGTCCCTGGCCCCGCACTGGTCCCACAGGTGTTTAAGGCTTAGTGGCGGCAGGAACCTGGGTGTAGGGCAGGGGGTTGTTGGGCTCCACTAATCGTGCAGATGTTTCTCAAGATCCTGTTGCCTCCGCTGTGGGGTGTCCACACCTTCCCCCCCCTGTAGCCCCAGCCCATCAGTGCACCTCACACCTAGGGCCTCTTTCTCACTAGCGCGTCCCTGTCTACCAAGCCCCCAGCAAGGGGAGGGACTCCATCTGTCTCAGCTCCCTCTTCTCCTCCGCACCCTTGGTCTGCTCCCATTAGGGCAGCCCGCGCCGTCCCCCGCACGGCACACCCTTGTCTACCTCCCCAAATCCCGCCCATCCTTTGAGACCCAGAATGAGTCCTACTTCCAAAGTGACATCCACACTGCTCAGGGTGGCACCAAGGACCCTCAGTCTCTTCTCCACCCAGAGGGATGCAGCTGTGGGTTCTCTGCCCTCCACCCCGTGCCCAGCCCAACATGTGACCTGATACCCCAAACTACCCAGGCCCACGACTGCAGTCTTGGCTTACTGAGCGTGTGGCGGGGTTGCCCTGCGTACCCCTCCCCTAGAAGGAGGACCGTTTCTCAGGAACAAGTTTATTACAGGAGCACACTAACCTTTTTCATAATAGCTACAGGCACAAAAACTACAAAAATACCTGGCTCTCAAGTGTGGGCAGCTCGGTATGGGGCCTGGCCTGAGTCGTGGCTTGGGCGGCCTTGCAGGCCAGAGGCCCCGGAGACTTCCAGCCACACCCTAGGGAGACAGGGAGCTTGGGGAGAGAGGAAGCGCCGTGGCTGGCTTGGAGGCACAAAGGCAAGGCTGGAGTGGGGCTGAGCCGGAATGCAAGGCAGCTATGCCCTGCATCACCTACCCTGTCCGATCCAGAGAAGGCTTCAGGGAGGCTCTGCAAGGCTGGCGGCAGAGCCAGGGTGGGGAGGGGCCTGCAAGTGGCTGCCCAGCTCCACTGGCTCCTGCCCCAAGGGTCCAAGGCACCCTTCGCTTTCTCCAGGGCTCCGGCTGGTGCTCCAGGCACGGGGGCAGAGCAGAGGCCCCCTGAGGTGCACAGAGGAGACAGACGTCCACCCAACCGCGGGGGTCCCCGGGGACCTGCGGCAGGGCTGTGCGCAGGGCAGGCTGGCTGCTGGGGCTGCAGCGGTGCTGGGAGAGCCAGGGCAGGAGTGGGGTGGTGGGCAGGAACGCGCCACGGCACAGAAGGGCAGGTGGGTCTGCGTCCCCTGCCCTCAGGGCGGGGTGCCGTTGGCCCGGGCGCCTGGCTGGGCTGTCTTCCGGAAGGCCTGCAGGGCTGGGTTGCGCAGCAGCGTGTAGGCCAGGCCCCAGCGGGCCCTGCCGCAGCCGGCCCTGGGTGCTGCTCCCTTGGTTATGGGGTCCTTTGGCTGTAGCAGCTGTAACCCTGAGAGGAAAAGACCTTTTGTGGGTCACTCAACAAACGCCCAGCCAAGCCTCCCCAGCCACCATCCCTGAGCAGAGCGCCTGAAACTCCTGAGCATAGTGAGGGTGGCCAGCCTGGGGTTCCAGGTGGCAGCTCAGAGTGGGAAGTGGGGAGACTCCTCTGTGGGGTACAGAGGCTGCTTGTAAAGGCTTGGCATGTCACCCTGCAGGTGGCAGACAGAGAGGGAGTGATGAGGTCTATGGGGGACGACACACTTCCCGGGCAGCAGAGGAGGGCAGCTTCCTCCCTGCAGGGAGAGGTGAGGGTTGCGGGGCTGGCCTGGGTGGCGGTGGGCACGCCAGAGCCCCTCAGCAAGGCAGCCATTCGCTCTGTGTGTACATATGGGGTGTGCTCCTGTCGTGGAAAACATTACCCAGAGACCGGACTGGGAGGGGCGACCACAGGCCGCCAAGGCAGAGAGGCAGCGAGAACGTTCCTGGCGCTCACTCTGGGTGGGGTGCATGCCTCCTTCCTGGGAGAAGCTGGTAGGCTCGGTTCCCCCCATCTCCAGAAGGGGGCACACCTTCTTCCTCCCCTGGCCTGAGGCTGTCCTGGGGGACTGGCAGGGTCCAGGGCCGGGGGCTCCGTGCTCGCAGGAGCAGGGTGCAGAAGGCTGTCATGGCCGGATGCGACTGGCTGACTTCAATCTTCAAGAAGTTGCGGTATGTGTGGTAGCCTGGGGTGCGGCAGGGGATGGCAGCGCTGAGGACAGAGGGCCCCCAGCAGACCAGGGGCACCCAGACAGCCCTAACCACACACGGGGAGTGTGCAGGCACACCCTGCAGCCAAGCATGTAGACACGCCGGGCACGTGGCACACACATTGTGCGTGGGCACACGGGGACCTGCTAGCACACACCACGCCTGGTGCGCGCACTGCAGAGCCACTCAAAGCACGGTGCAGTGGTGCACAGGTGGCGCGTGTCACGGACATCTTCGTGAACTAGTCAGCACATGGACGGGGCAGGGCACACCCCTCCCTCGCCGCTAGGGTAGCCTGAGCAACCCCGCAGCCCCCGGCCCTGCTCAGGGACTTACCGGGGTCAAAAGTGGCGGCTCTTGGGGGCAGCAGGCTGAGGTCTGTCTGGCCGAGGTGGACAGCGTTGTAGAGGGCAGAGAGGAACACTCGCCATGCAGCCACCACGGCGCCCACCAGCACATTGATGGGGAAGAGAAGAAAGGTGGCTGCGTAGAGTGCTCGCCTGGGGTGGGGACAGAAGAAAGGCTGAACGGGCCCCCCACCTCGGTCACCCTCCCTAGGGTCAGGGTCAGACCCAGATGCCCAGAGCTGCTGTGCATTTCCAGAGTGCCTACTGTTTACCGGGTGAGCCTTCTGTGCACCCGACCCTGTGCTGGGACTTGTCCACTTGGGTCTTTCTGTGAGCCAGGTGTCTCCCACCTCCCTCCTCAGGTCCCCTGTCCACTAACTCTAAGTCTGTCTCGGGGCCAAGGTTCTCCCAGAGCCTTGCCATCTGCCAGGGACCCTCCTTCCCGAAAAGGAAAGAGGCACGCGGTTTGGAGGGGACTGAGGATCCAGGGAGAGCAGCGCTGATTCCCAAAGCAAGAAAGACTCATGGGTATTTCTGGCCCCATGACAGGTATAGAGAGGTATTTGAGGAGGTTGGGCCACTGTCCCTTTTCTCTGTAGGTAAGGCAAGCTTTCTACGGCCTTCTGGGATCCCTGATAGACAAAGTGGAGAGACAGTAATGGAGGAGGAAGGGCACAGAAAGAGAGAGACATGGGAGGAGAGGAGGCTGAGGGCCGAGGGAGCCACAAGCTCAGGCGCCACCGTACCGGTTGGTCAGCTCTGGACGTCCGTGATGAGTCTCCAGGAAGAGCCAGTGGGCCGCCACGTTCTGCAGGGTCACAGCCAGGGCCAAAGTCAGCCAGAAGGGCCTGCGGGGGGGTGGGAGGCGGTGTCTGTTGGCAGCCCTCTGGGAAGGCCCGAGCCCTCCTCGCCTCACTCACCACGAGGACTCCAGGAAGCGCAGGAGCGGGAGGCCCCTGCCCTGGAGCACAGGCACGAACACCAGGAAGGCCAGGGCTGTGGTCCCCAGGAAGAAGATGATCTGCTGCACCAGGAGCCCTGCCAGCGGTGGAGAGGCAGAGGGACAGGCGTCAAGTCCTGTGGGGCCATGGACCACCCCTGCCACCCCCAGGAATTCAACGGCTTTGGAACTGGGCAGATCTGGTTTCAGATCCCTGCTCTGCCATTGCCCAGCTGTGCCGCCTTCGGCAAGTTACTTTACCCCTCCGAGCCTCAGTTTCTTCTTCTGTAAAATGGGGATAGTAGTCCCTACCTCAGAGGGCTGTTATGAGGATCCCATGAGATAGTGTCTGTGGAAACTCTCCGAAAACCACAAAGTGCTTTGCAAATGTGATTAATATTTTGGTCTAGTTGCTCCAGAGTTCTTGGGGATAAGACCACATTTTAAACAAACGTTTGCATTCCTACGATCCAGAGCCTGGCCTATGGTAGGTGCCCAGGTGTGTCTATTGCAATAATCTGGCCACTTGATTATTTGGGATCATGTGTACAAAGGGGCTTGGGAGGCACAGTATACATAGAGTCTACCAAGAAGAGAAACTGTGACTTTCAGTCCCAGTAATTCCTCCACTTCTTTATCATCCTTCTCCAGCAAAGTGGGAACCGAAGGGGCCGAAGCGGGGGGGGGGGGGTCAGGCCCTTGGATTTGCAACCCTGGCCTGGCCCCCAGCATCAGAGTGCTTTCTCCCTGCAGTGCCCAACGAGGGGCTTGAAACTCAGGGTGGGGAGGGGTCCTAGAAGGTTATTTGGTTCAGATCTCTCAGGGCAGGACCCCCTTTGCAGATGCCAGCAACATCTGAAGAACTCTGCTTGCAGACGCCCGGCAAAAGGGATCTCATCACCTCTTGAAGTGGCCCATTGTGGCACAGCCCTTCCTTATATGAGCAGGAATGGGCCACCCTGAACTTGCCACTTTCAGACCTGGGTCCACCCTTCATGTAAACAGCTGGTGGCACCCAGGGTTCATTTTCATCTGAAGGGTACCCACTTCCTAAGGGGCTCCTACACCCCCCACCCAACCTGAGCAGCTTCCTGAGGGCAGGGAAGGCAGGGTAGGTCCCTCCGCTTGCTCTTGCCCCAGAGCCTGCCCAGCACAGGCAAACACTCAGGGGCAGCAAGGACCTGCTGAGAGGCAGGGCGCAGTGGCTCACGCCTGTAATCCTAGCACTCTCGGAGGCCAAGGCAGGAAGATCGCTTGAGCTCAGGAGTTTGAGACCAGCCTGAGCAAGAGTGAGACCCTGTCTCTACTATAAATAGAAAGAAATTAGCCAAACAACTAAAAAAAGATAGAAAAAATTAGCCAGGCACTGTGGGGCATGCCTGTAGTCCCAGCTACCTCGGAGGCTGAGGCAGGAGGATCGCTTGAGCCCAAGAGTTTGAGGTTGCTGTGAGCTAGGCTGATGCCACAGCATTCTAGCCCGGGCAAGAGAGCAAGATTCTGTCTCAAAAAAAAAAAAAAAAAGGACCTGCTGAGTGCCTCCCCCTCCCACACTGGGCCCTGGCAGGGTGTAGGGGCAGGGGAGCTCACCAAGACAGGTGAAGGCAGTCTGGTAGGCGCTGAAGCTCATCCAACAGAATATGGCTTGGCGGGAGGGGTGGGGGCTCCGGGGTGGGGGACCCAGGTCCAGGGCAGCCCCTCGGTGCAGAGCTCGAAGGTTGACCCTGGGGCGGGAGCAAGGGAGCCAGGGACCTCAGGGAGCAATACACACTCCCTCAATTCCTGCTCTGAGCCAGCCTCCAGCCGGACTTCCTTTTTAATTACATGCCATGGCCATTGGCAGGGAAGCCAGAGCTGTGGAGCCCAGAGGAGGCCACTAACCCAACTTGGGAGTCGGGGAGGGCTTCCTGGAAGAGGCAACGTCTGGGCAGAGTCTGAAAGGGTGAATAAGGGAGACACAACCAGGCAGAAGTTTCAACCAGAGCCAAGTCAGGAAAGTGGGAGGCCACAGTGAGGGTGGAAGTGACATGCAGCTCAGCCACAGGGCGGGCGTGAGGAAGGCAGGGGCTGGGGGCCTTGGATGCCAGGACAAGCAGTGCCGGCCCTGTGGGGAAAGGTCCCTGAACAGGTGGTCTGAGGCCTGGCGACTGCACAGGGCATATGGGCCCGTTCTCCGACACTGGTGAGCGCCCATTCCTCCCCTCCCACCCACCCGCCCCGCTCTGCCCAGAATCCCCCACGAAAGGGCAAGCCAGGCGGCGTGGCATTCAGACCCGCGCAGCCACGGCTGCCTCTGACCCCTCTCACGTGAGGCCCGCGTGCTCCCTCTCCTGCCTCTTCTTCCATCCCCAGGCTCACGCAGGCTGCCTTCCCGCCCCTTCTCCCCTTCTCGCAGGGCCAGCTCCACATGCTGCCCAGTCGCCTGTGCCTGTCACTCACCCTCACAGACAGGAAGGCCCGAGGGCAGCCCCGCCCCACCTTCTCCTTCCACCCAGCGCAGACAAACTCAGGGGCCTCGGTGGCAGCCTGCCGCAGAGGCCTGCCCTCCCTCCAGCCCAGGCCTCCCCACAGGCGCTGCTAGTCGGGGTCCTGTGGGCCCTTCCCTGCTCCGCACTGGCGAGTCAGAGCTCGCCACTAACCTGTGTGCTGCCAGCGAGCGGACCAGGACCAGGATGGTGAGTGAGCAGGACAAGACCAAGGCTGAGATGTAGCAAACTGGAGGGCAGAGGGAACAAAGGGGAAGGTCAGGCCTTCAGGGTCTCCGGGGTCCTCTGAGTCAGTGCCAGGGTGGTTGGTGCCTTGGGGGAGAGAGCCTGTGCCACACCCCACTCTCAGTGCAGCCCTCTTGGCCACACCCCCAGTTCTCAGATCCAGTGTAAGTTGATGACCCTGGCCACCCATCCTTCCCAGTGACATATGGTGGCCGAGATGGGAGAGGTCAGCTCTGAGCCTGGAGACCCAGCCCTCACTCTGCTGCTGCAGCTCCACTGCTGTGAGGGCCACCGACCTGGCGTCTGCCTCCAGCTCCACCGCTTCGGGAGGGCACTCCAGCGCCCCAAGGCTCGCTTTGCTTGTAAACATACGGCTGCCGTGTTATCATCTCCCAGGGTAACAGGAGACTCGGGAGAGGCCTTTCCCAGCCAGCCACAGTGCCGGCAGCGACGCAGAGGGTGCGCAGCCATCTCCCAGCAGATGCAGAAGGAGCCCGGCGCCCGCACCCTGGCCTGCTCAGTCAGCCCAGGGAAGTGTCCCTGGTGCCTGTGTCCGCACCAGGAAGCCGGAGCAGGGCAGAGCAGACACACAGGGACAAGGCAAGCTCTCAGGCGCTACAGCAGGATCACCTGGAGCTGCTAAAACTCCCCATCACACCTGACAGGTACATCAGAATCCCCGTGGGCGGCACCGAGCCCTGGCTCTGCGAAAGCGCGGCCGCGACTCCAGCCTGCAGCCAGGGCCGGGAATGCTGCTCTGGGGCTTTCCGAAGGCAGAAACTTCATGACTTATTTCCATCAGCAACGGATTGAGATTAATCAGTCACCGGCACTGACTGGTGGTGCTCAAACTGCCTGCATCGGTCACCGCGGACTGCGCAGCCGCAGGTGCCGGGCCCCACCCTCCGAGCTTCCGGTTTGGTAGGTCTGGCGTGGGGCTTGAGCGCTAGGAATTTCAAAGTTACCATGGGTTCCCAGGCACAGCCAGGGCTGAGAACAGCCTACAGAAACCTGGGGCCTTGCTGCCGGTCCTGGCTCCCTCCTCCAGTGGCCTCACAGGGACACGTGTCTGAAAAGCAGGGCCGGGAGAGAGCGCGGCACACCCGTAGCCCCGGCCTCTGCATTGCCTCTCTGGAGCCCGCGGCCCCGGCGCAGGTGCACCCCGCACATTTGCTGCCAGGAAGAGCCTCTTGCTGAGCTGGGCCAGGGCAGAGACAGGCTAACACAGGGTGAAGGGTTAGCAAGCGTCCCTGGCATTTATCTCCACCTGTCCACCTCCTGCCTCTCTCTCCCTCCGTTGGCTCCAAATGTGGGTCCCTCCAAACCCTGTCACCATACGATCTCCTTTCTTTGCTGCCTTGGGTTGGGATCCTGTACATGCCCCTTCTGGGCTCTGCTTTGGGGATCGATCTGTGTCCCCTCTCCTGATTGGGGGCCTCAAGGACAAGGGTGCCTTTTTCACTTACAGCACCCATCTTGCAAGTAGGGAAATTGAGGTCAGGAAAGGTTAAGCTGCTTGCCCAAGGCCACTCAGCTTGTAAGTGACGGAGCGGAGGCTGTAATCTAGTCTGGCTGACTCAGAGTCTGAGCGTTCTGTGAATCATGCCAAGCTTATGGTCCAGTGCCAGGTGGCAGCCCTAAAAGAAGCTGTCAGAGCTCAGAAGACACTAGCTCCCTAGGCTGAGAATAGACCAAAGGACTCCCAGACCCCAGGCCTAGACTGCTGAGTGGCTTTGGCAGATCTCTAACCCTCTTGAGCCTCAGTTTTCTCATCGCAAACTAGGAGAGTAAAACACCACTCTCTTTGGCCCCTGCATCCAGGAAGATCCAAAGCAGGAGAGTTGTGAACTGGAAACTGCATGGTGTGATCACAGACATAGGTGAGATGCGCAGGAGCAGTGTGCATTGCCCGGGACGCGTCACTTCTTGCCCCAATTTTCTGCTTTGTGAGGCGGGATCAGTGATGCTGACCTAACGAGGCTGCTAAAAGCAAGGCCCAAGCTTGGATGTGGGCTGACCTGGGCCATGTCTGCTCCTGCCTGTGACCCAGGTTGCAGCCAGCTTAGAAAATCTCCCTGGAGATGCCATTTTTCAGCCCACCGGAACTTGTCACCTGTCCAGCAGCAGTTCCAGGGCAGCCTCCAGCGTGAGAGCTGAGGTGCTTAGGAAGGTCAGGGAGGGAGGCCACCACCCCACTCCCTGTCCCCTCCCACATTGCCAGCATTCCCAGGTCTGCAGGACGAGGACGATGTTATTGGTCAGGAAGAGCTGTAGAGCAGCCACACCTCCACCTGCAGTGCAGGCTGCCTGAGCGCCGACCTTTGCATGTTACTCCTCAGAAGCCAGGGTGCCTGTACCAGCCTGGGTCCCCAAGTCAGCTGAGGGTGCAGCCCCACAACTCCTGGCCACCCGGCTTTGTCTCAAGGTGGTGGAGAGAGCCCAGCCCAGGCTTCAGGAGTCCTGTGTCCTTTTGTCCACTCAGCCTGCTGGATGGCCTTAGGCAGACCCTCCCCACCTGTCGAGTAGGGGCACTTCTCAGTCCCCTCCACGGGGCTGACGGGAGGGCCTGGCAGGTGGGGTAGCAGGTGGCTGCAGAAGGCATCAGACCATAGACGGCAAGGCGGGGGAGGCTGCCTGGTCTGAGGACTCACCCTCGGGGAGGAGTAAGGAGACACAAGAACGGAGACAGGGAGGGGAAGGGAAAGCATGCCCCCACCCTCTGCAGGCCCTGCCCTGAGGACCAGCTCAGAGAGGCTGGCCCACTGCCTCCTTTGCTCCTTTGCCCGCCCCCAGCTCCTCATCCCATGGCCTTTGCCGCCTCCATACCCGGAGAGCTGGTCAAAGACACTGGGGTGGGGGTGGGAGATGCAGGAGGACTGACAAGGAGCAGGGGCCACTGCGGTAGTCCCTTTGGGTTTCATGGAAGCTCCACCTGCCCCTATTTGGAGATGAGGCTGTCAGGACCCAGAGAGTGGAAGAATGTGTCCAAGGGCTCCAGGGCATCTGTGCAGGCTGGGGTGCAGCGCTGGGGTCTCCTGGCTGGTGTCCCCACTGTGGCCCTCAGGGGCTCCCGGGAGGCCTCACCTTCCAGAGCCCACAGATAGTGCTTCACCAGTTCCACCACCTCCTGCCTGTCCTCTGATAGCACGATCCCAAAGCCGGCCAGCAGGTAGGAGACGTCCGTGGTGACCCCTGCCCGCACCTTCTGGATGGTGGGGATCACGCCCACCAGCAGCAGCAGGGCCACCTGGAAGAGCCCACAGTGAGGCCACCAGGGCCTGGCCGCGCTCACACTGGCCACTCCCACCCAGGAGAGGTGTCTTCTGTGCTCACGGGAGGCCGCGGGGGAGAGCGTGGCGCACGCAGGCTGCAGCCACACGGCCACCACCCGCCGAGGTCCTCACGCCTCCCAGCAGCCAGCACAGACAGGCCCAGCAATGGCCCACTAGGCCACGGATGGGCCTTCAAGCACTGCAACTGTATACAGTTGGCCCTGTGTACAGTGGGAAAAACCCGCAATAGAAAATAACAACAACAAAGAATAATTCAAATTTAAATAGCACAGCATAATAACTGCTTGCACGGCATTTCCAGCGCGGGAGGTGCTATGAGTAACCTGGAGACGGCGTGAGGTGTCTGGGGGTGTGCGTCGTTACGAGCAAACACTGCCCCATTTTATATCAGGGACTGGAGCACCCTGGATTTTGGGATCTGTGCAGGTCCTGGAACCACTCCCCTACGGATACTGAGGGACAAGTGTCTCTACACCTCCATCCACCCACCCATCTACCCATCTGTCGTCTATCTAAACTTCAGAACATAAAATTCCCGATTTTTCCATGTTGTAGAAAGCAAATGAGGACAAGAATTAAAGCTAGACAGACAGGATTCAAATGGCCACTGCCCTGAGACATTGGCCGTGTAGGAACTTGGCCAAGTCAAATTCACCTCTCTGAGCCTCAGTTTCCCCACCTGTAAAATAGAGAAAATCCTACATTCCTACCTCTCAGAATTTTAATTTTTTTTTTTTTGGATGTGGTGGGGGTTCGTTTGTCAAACATATTAGCTCACTGAATCTTCCTAGCTACTCAAAGAGGAAAGTGATTTTATTTATTTCCTCCATTTTACAGATGAACTAACAGGTACAGAGAGGTTGAATAACTTGCCCAAGGTCACTAGGAGGTAAATAATGGAACCCGGATGAAAATCCATGTGTATGTGGATTCCAAAGCTCTCACTCTGAGTCGCTTTGAATCAACAGGAGTTGACGCCGCCCGCCCGTCGGGCAGCCGCATCCCGAACCCGGCCAGAGCAGCCGGCCAGGACTGCGTGCGGTGCATCTGGAGAGCTGAGTGGGGCCTGAGCTGTTCCAGGCGCGGGGACTGAGAGCAGGTCCAGAGGCAGATGGCACTACGGGGTGCAGGACATACCTGGTAAATGGCCGTCCCTGTCAGGGTGGCTGAAAGCACCAGCTTCAGGGGGAGGCGGAATCCTGCAGTCCCCAAAAGAAGGGGCGTGGTGACCAGCACAGCACCAGCCAGGTCTGGGAGTCCCCATTCCGCCCAAGGGGCCCAGGAAAAGGGCCAGGGCTCCCAGGACTCGGGACCACCAAGGCCAGGCCAGGGTCTTCCCGTATTAATGAGCTGGCAGTTGTCCCTCCCAGTGACAAGGATTCTGGGGAGCAGGAGCCAGCCCTCCACTGCAGCTGTTCTGTGCAAGGGAGGCTGAGGTCACGCGTCACTCTTGGCCTTGGCGCCCACCCTTACCTCTCTGTGGAGTGTAGACGCACTGTCGGAGGCAGGCCCAGGCCCAGGGCAGAAAGCCATGCTTGGGGGAGGGGGAGCTGTAGAGAGACCCAGGCGGGCGGTGGGGCACTCAGGAGAAGCCCCTGCCCCGAGGGCAAGCCCCTGAGTCTGGTCACCTCTCGCCTCTGCCCCTGCCCTGCTGCCAGTGCCCGCCTCCCACGCACCCCCGTGAGCAGTCCCGCCGGCCCGCCCAGCCGCGCCTGGGACCCCACCTGCTCTCCAGCGTCTTCCTGCGAAGGAGGGTCCTCAGGTATTCCTCAGAGTCGCTGCTCCGCAGCCCCTGTGAGACCGGCAATTGGAGAGCAGATGAGACCTGCTCGAGCTGTCCCTGGGGCTCTGGCTTGGGGTCTTGGAGCGCCCCCCAAGTAGATGCCCTGGCAAATCCTCCTGGCTGCGTGGCAGTGGTGGGTGTGAGGCTGACCTGTGGGATGAGTCCGTGCCCCTTGAAGCCGCCCCTTTCTCTTCCACAAGTACAAGGCCAGTCAGTCTCCTATGGAAAACCCTCAATGCTGGGAAGTTCTTCCTAAAATCTATCTCCAACTCTCTCTTGCTTTACTCAGTCACCTCCCATCACTGCTTTTCTTCCATCCCTCAGGCCTCTGCTAGCTGAGAATGGGGTGAAGCAGAACTTATGTCCCATGGCGCATCCCTGGCCAGGACACAGGATGGGGTCGTTCCAGGCCAGACCCCCCAGGCCTCTCCCCCTGCTGCCACTCAAGGGAGATCACAAGGTGGCCGGATTTGTCTAAGCCACATTCCAGGCCTTAAGCTGCCCACGAAGTGGCAGAGGCCCATGGGAGGATGGGGTGAGGCCCTGACTAGTGTCACCTGTGGCCATGGCAACCCTGGGATCCAGGGGAGGAGTGAGTCAGCTCGAAGCTTGATGAGGTCCTTTGAGGCTTAGACCTCTTTGACCAAAGTCCAAAGAGGATTTTGTTCCCCTCGAGACCTGGGAGGAGAGGCATGCGTGGCAGGAGGGTGAGGCAGAGGAAGTCCTGGAAGGGGAGGTAACGGGACTCAGCGCGGCCCTGCGTGTCCCTGGGGGGCCACGCCGTCTCCTGGGCCAGCTGTAAACCTGAGGGGCCATGGCTTCCCAGGAGGACTGTGAGCATCAGGGCAGGAGGGACACGTCTCAGAAGCCTACTGCCTACCATGAGAGAGCCACACCAAGAGTCAGTGGCCTCCCCAGTCCGGAGGGGCCTGTCGGGGACCCAGGGCTGCCCCTTGGGAACCTGAGCTCCCCGCTTCTCCTCTCCTCACTCTCCATCCACGGAGCTGAGACCCAGTTCCAGCCCAAGTGGCGCACGCCCTGAGCCGGGCCTCGCTTCCGGAGCACCTGCTCCTCATCCACCTTCTCTCGGTCAGCAGCGGGCACCGCCGCCTCCCTGTCGCCGGCCTAGGTGCTTCCCGCCAGCCCCTTCCTTCACCGCCTGTCTAGAGAGGAGCCCAGCCCTTTGGCCTCTGCGTCCTCCGCCTTTCCTGAGACCGTCCCCCTTCTTTGCTGAGAACCCAGGGGAGTTTTCCTCCCCTCCCGCCCCGGCACCTGTGCTCCCGCTCCATGCACTCAGAGGAGCCCGCTGTGTTTACATTGCACTGTCTGCATTAGCCATGGCTGCATGCATCGCCCCCACCTCTCCCGCCCAGGGACCTCCTGCAGCTCACACCCACGTCCATCAGCTCTGAGGCCACAGCACTGAGCCCAGGGCCTGATGCAGGGTAGGTGCATGGAAGTCTTTGTAATAAGATCCCAATGTCTTTTAAGAATTCTCTCTTACTATAATGTATCCACCTGTCCATCCAAAAATTCAAAACATTTGCTGAGTATTATTGTGGGCTAAGACCTGCCCAGTGCTGCAAACACACATGAACAAAGCAGACAAGACCCATCTCTGCCCTTCCCTCAGGCTTCTTCCTGTGCCGCTGCTGTCTTCTCCTAGTCCCTCCCTACTCCAGATCCTCCCTGGCCTCCAGGCCTCACTAACCCCCACCTCCTCCAGGAAGTCTCCAGGATCGCCCCTTTATTTGATGTTATCCAATCATGTCTGACCCAGAGTTGACTCATGATGCAGTTCTGCCCCGGGTGCTCCCTGCACATCCCAGCATGTGGAAAGCTCTGACTAGGCACAAGGCTCCAGGCCCGTCTCATTTCTCCATGGGTCCTCTGTTTCAAGAACAGGGCTGTGATGTTCCTATCTCCTGACCCCGTTCTCCTTTCAGTCCCTACCGTTCATCTGACCCAGTGCCTCAGGTGTCCTGGGTGCAAGTCAAGGGCCCAGTCCAGCCTTTGCCTGCGGAGGGAGGACTGAGCAGTCACTCAATGACTCAGCAAACATTTTCTGAGCACCTGTTGTGTACCGGGCCCTCCTGCAGGCATGGCCGTGGACACTGGACCACAGACGGGGTGAATTCAGGGTGTCTTAGGTGTGAGCAGGGCCCGCCCCAGCCCTGTGCCCCTTTACCTCGAAGCCTGTCCGGCTGAAGCTCCTCACCAGCTGCACCGGGTACCAAAGGCTCAGGAATGCGAGGCCCAGAAGCAGAGGTAGGGAGGCCAGCAGGGAGTAGTACTTGTAGATCTGGACAGACAGACGGACAGACAGACCTACCTTCTGCCTTCCTCCTCCAAAGACAACCAATCCATTTCCCTGCCCACCTCTCGCTGGGGCTCTGAGGATGTCTGGGGGGCGTGGAAAGGCTTCTGATCTAGATCCCCCAATCTGCCACCTGCTCACTCTGCCTTCTCAGGCCCTGCAGAGGGGCTCACCCCTCCCCCAGGCTCCTGGGCTCCCTTGGACCTGAGAGAAGCCAGAGAGAGGAGGTCACGTGACCCCTTCTACCCACCCCCAGGGGTGGAATGAGGGCAGAAACGGAGGACACCACTTTCTATGTTCCTATGTTCCTGGAGCGCTAGAACTCAGGCTTCTGAAAATCGGACAAAAGCCTAATTTTGTCCACATACGGTTTGCAACATGGGCATTAGGGAAGTACATCCGCTACACCTCCCAGGACTGAGGCCTTGCTGGAGCTGGGCGCCTGATGTACTCATTCATTCATTTGTTGATTCAGCATGCATTGAGTGAGAGCTCAGTACGCGCCAGGTCCTAGGTGCTGAAAAAGACCCACCAAGTCCTCCACCTCAGAGCAGCCTCCTAACTTTCACCTCCACCATGAGGGACTGGTGGTGTTGTCACCTCCATTCACGGGTGGGGAAACTGAGTCTCAGAAAGGTGACATTGTTTTCTCAAGGCACTTAGCACCACCTGGCATTATTTTGTTTGTTTATTGTGTTTCCCCCTTTGGAATGACAGCTCTTGGGAGGCCAGGGACTTCCTTTGTCTGTTTCACAATGGTAGTCCAGTGCTTGGAAATGTCTCTGGTACAAAGTATGTGCTTCAAATATGTTTGTTGAATGAATGAATGGGTGAGTGAATGAATGAAGTAGTAGAGCTGGATTTAAACTCAGGTTGTCGGGCTCCAAAGTCTCCTGGGGTTCTAGACTAGGTGGCTTCACTACCAGTGAACTGGTCCTGAGGGTCTGGAATTTTCCTTTCAGCCCTCGGAGACCATCCCCCAACTCGGCACTGGCAGGTCTCCAGCCTACTCTGGCCTAGCAAGGAGCGAAGTCTGGGGAAACTAACGGGGTGTTTGGGCTGCTTCCTCCTGCTCTGCCCACCCCCCGCCCTCCTAGACTCGAAGCTCCTGAGGGCAGGGCCCAGCTGCCTCGCCCCTGCTGCTCCCACAGAGAAGCTGGGCTTGCCTTTGCAGGAGTGGCGTCCCCCGCGTGAGGGACAGGGCAGGGAAGCCAGCACAGGGGCAGATGGAAGGGCACACTGGTTTCAGCGGCTGCTGTCTGCTCCCGTCCGCCCTAGGCCATGGGGAGTCAGCAGTTACCTGGGGTGCCTGGGGACACTCTGCCCTCTGCCAGACCTGGACTCCAAGGTGGGCCCAGGACAGCACGCTGCCGAGCAGGTGTGCGGCTCTGTGGCCAGCCGTGGCACAGGCGGCCAGCGGATAGCAGAGGGCCGCGCAATAGAGCAGCCCCAGCATCTTCCAGGGCCCTGGAAGGCGAAACAGGCAGAGACCCGTGCTGAGAGGACATGGTGGGGCTGGGTGAGCCCATCCCAGTCTTTCTCCCGCCTCTAGCTTCCAAGCCCCTTGGCAAGTTCAGCGGGCAAGAGCCCCGGGTTCAAATCTAGTCAAATCCAGACGCTGACTAGCATCAGCTCTGTGATCTTGGACAAGTTACCTCTTGGAGTCTCAGTTTCCCCATCTGTAAAATGGAAATAATCATAGCATGTTAGCAAGGCCAAAACAAAAAGGTTTATGCACAGTGCTTAGCGCACAGTGCCTAAGTACTTAATAAATTAAACTACTACTTATTATTGTTCCCTTCTCTGACCCTCAGTTCCCTCCATTATAAAATGGGGCTAGTGTGCGTGCTTCGCAGAGTCATTGTGAAGACTGGGTGACCTAGAGAGGTCATGCTGCCTGGTAGTGGCCCCTCCCATCGATACCCTTTCTTGTTATTGTCACCTCCTCGAGCCAAGCTTAACACCCCAGGACCCCTCCCCTGGTCCCATCGAGCGAGCCACAAAGCCTCTGGGTACCTGGGCTGGGCGGCCAGGCGAGGCTCAGGAAAGGCAGCGGGTCCTTGTCAGGGAGCAGCAAACACAGGGAACTGAAGAGGACCACGAAGACAGCAGCAGGCACTGTGCGGGGCCTGTCCCCAGCCAAGAAATCCACAGGGCTGGACAGAAGCAGGGGCAGGCAGGGGGCAGTGGCTCAGCCCTACACCCTCATTACCCAGGTTGTGTTCCATAAACCAAGGGATATAGTCAGCCCCACTTTCCAGATGGGGAAACTGAAGCTCCTTCCTTCATTCATTCATTCCATAGGTATTGTGGAGTGCCTGCTGTCTACCATCTCAGGGCCCTGTGGCAAATGGCCCTGGGACACACACAGTGGGAGCAAGCCCTAGCACTGCTCCCTCCACCCACCCTGGAAGCTCCAGGAAACAGCTGCCTCCACACGAATCAGTCTGTCTGTCTGGGCTGGCAAAGCTTCAGAGAGCTCAGCGAGTCACAACATCCTTGTGCAACGGCCGCCGCCCTAGGCGGGGTGGGACCCGGGTCAGAGGTTAGACAGCGGCCACAGCTGTCCCAGGCATCACCCCTCTGGGCTCGGGATAGGCCACTCAGACCCTCTGCTTCAGCATTCCGGCTTGAGCTCACGCTCTGAGAGCCCCATGCAAGCGCCCCCCACAGGCATGACAAGCTCTTTCGTGGGCCAACCAGAGACCCCAGGCTGGTTCCCCACAAAACCAGCATGGCAGGACCCAGCTGGGTGCACAGACGGCCCAGGTCTGGGGTGTGAGGCTGTCTAGCCTGGGGCTCCACCCACCACCTCCCCCACCCCTTTGGTCTCTACCCCACTAGCCTGCCCAGTCCCATCTCCTCAGGGTGCTGCCTGTCCCAGGCTTTGGTTCCAGCCATAGGGACCTGAGGTTAGTCCTCATAAATCTGCCTTTAAGCATCAGGGTCAGACGACAGCCTCGGGGAACGGAGGGTCAGGATGGCGTTGCGGTGGTCGGGTCAGCCCCGACCTGAGGGCTGCCTGAGGAGCCTCGGCCTGGAGCTGGGTCCTGCTGTGCTGTTTCCCTGGTCTGGGCGGGAGCCCTTTCCCGTCCTGCGCCACGGGAGCAGCTGGCCCCAGTGCATCCCTCCCCGCCCTCTGGGGTCCGGAACCACACCTGGAGGTGGGGGGTGGAGAAAGCCCCCAGGCTGAGAGAGGTTGGGGTGTCCCCGAGGCCAGACCTGGCTTTTAGGTACCTAACGAATCGCCCAAGTGTGCCCCTGAGCGGGGTGCCCATGCCACGGCACCAACCTGGGCAGGCCTGGCCTGCAGCGCCCACAGTCGGGCCGGAGCCGGCGGCGCCTCCCCAGCGTGGCCAGCAGCAGCAGCACGAAGATCTGAGAGGACAGCACAGGAGGGGCTTGGGTGCCCGAGCCTTCCCTGAGGTCCGAGTCTGAGGGTTGGACGCAGACCCCGGCACGGCCCCCACCTGCCCAGTGCCCACTCACATGGCATCTTGGGATGGCCAAGAGGTGACAGATGTCTGGGAGGTTGCACTTGGCCTGCATCCTGGTTTGGGTTCCCACCCTGGGAGAACTCCCAGATTCCTCCTCCCAGGGGCTCCCAGGGTCCAGGCCGGCTGCAGGTTGCAAGCCAGGCTGGGTTCAGGTTGGACTCACCGACAGCGAGGCGAGGCAGGCGTGGGGCAGGCCGGGCGGCACACTGGGGTTGCAGGAGGGCACTGCCCTGTAGGGCAAGCAAAGGCCAGCTCAGACCTAGGTAGGGCCCCCCTGGGTGAGCAGGTGAGCAGGTGAGTACAAGGCTGTCTACACTGAGGCTCCACCCAACACCTCCCTCAACCCTCTGATCCCTCCTACCCAAGCCTGCCCAGTTCCACTTTCTCAGAGTCATTCTGGGGCCCTTGTGTCCTGTAGTGTGCCAGCCCCATGCCGAGCTCAGGGGTTATAGGGCAAAGGAGATAGGAGGCTCCCAGGGGAAGCAGAGTGGGCCAGCTCGACCTGAACACCTAGTTTTGCTCACCTAGATGCTTCCATCCTCCAGGACCCACTTCATTCCTCCCCTTCCAGGAAGACTACCTGACTGCTCTAGCCTCCCAAACCCCTTCTCAGAACTGTCTATGGTCAAGCAATCAAGTAACTGGTATCTGAGACTGGACTGTGACTGAAATGATCTTTCCTGGACCCCCTCTTTTCCTATTTCCCTCTCATTAAGAGTCTCCATGTACAGCTGGGCAGGTTGCATACTGCACAAGGATGACCCACCAAGGTAATGAATATGGTGTGAGATTCAGGCCACACTGCTCACCAAGCCCTATGCAGCTGAATGTACCTAAAGGGGGGTCCTTTTCTAATTCCACAGAGGCTCCCTACAGCCTGGTGGAGGTCCTGTTCTCGCCTTGGCTGAGCACAGAAGAAGGCCCATTGTGGAGATGAGGAGATGAGTGAGGACAATGAAGGCCTCAGCTTCCCCGCCTGGGTCATGTGCCAGAGAAAGGAGGCTGGGCAGGAGCCCTGAGTGCAGGGCCGGACCTGCACCTGGGGGAGCAAGCAGGACTGGGTCCCCAGGGGGGAGTAGACCTCCAGATTTGCCCAGCTTGGCCTGGGAGTGCCAGAGGGAGGGTGGCAGTGTGATCAAGGCCAGTGAGGTGTGGTGACAAGGGCCTGAGACAGAGCCCCGACTGTAGCCAGGCCCTGCCTGCCCAGGAGGCTGTCTACACGCTGCATCTTCCCCGTGAGCTCCGAGCCCTGGGCCCTCTGCCGGGCCAGCCCGTCCCTCCTGCTTGCACTCGCTCAAGAAATCCCAGAGGGTGAGGGGTGGGAAAGAAGCCAGTCGCTTGGGCTTGTCCTTGGGGTGGAGGGGCAGCGCGAGTCCACGCCGTGGCGCTCCGTGCGGGCAGAGCTGAGCAGGCAGTGCAGGCGCCACTCCGGCCCGGCTCCCATCGTCTGGGCTCAGGCCTCACTCCCCACTCCCAACTCTGAGGCCTCTCAGCCCTGCATGCGCGGCCGGGTTTGGGCGCCTGCCCGGCCCCCTCAGCCTGCATCTCACATGACTGTCCTGCTCCGCCCTGTAGCCCTGGGCCTGGCCAGGGCAGGGACTCGGCAAACTGTCCCTGGAGCAGCTTGACCATTTCTCTGGGGCCCTCACCCCAAGCTAGGGACTACCTCCACCCCTGGAGATGCCCTCCACGGCCCTGTCTGGGGGAACCTCTGGCCCTTTCTGTACCACTTGAGGTCCCCATCTGACCCCTCAGCTCCGTGTGTCCCTTTCCTGAGCAAATGTTGGGTTGGCCCCGTGTTTTGTGCTGTGGGACAGGCAGGATGGCACAGACAGGGCACGGTGTGGGTGAGGGTGGCTCCATCCCAGGAGAGGCACAAGCAGGTGCTCGAGGACTCAGAGAAGGGAGAGGAACTTCGGGCAGGAGGAGGCGGCATCTGATTTGAGCACCTCTTTAGACAGAAAAGGGGAGGGCAGTCCCACGGACAGGGAAGAGCGGGAGGAACCCGGGCAGGAACCCAGGCAGCCGCAGACAGCAAGCGGGGCCGGCAAGGCTCCCAGCCTCAGTGCAGCCCGGAGCTCGGGGAGACCAGATTTCAGCAGGTGTGGGGGGCCCTGGGAGGCCATTGAGTGCCTGGATTTGGGGAAACTTATCTTGGCTCAGTCCATCCTGGCCTCTGTCGCCAGTGCCCACACCCCAACCCCAGCCCAGCTATGCGGAGCGTGCTCAGGCGCAGCGGGGAGCTCCGGATTCCGGATTCCGCAAAGCTTTGATGCTCCACATCCGTCCCTGTCCCTCGGGTGAATGACTCACAGAGGGAGAGGTGAGCCCAAGTTCAGCTCCTTGGGATTCCCCTGAGCTCCCAGCTTCCCACTCCCACCTTTGGGGCCAGGAGGATGGCAGGCAGCTGGCCTGGGTTTGGCCAAGCAAGTAGATCCAAACGGATCTCTCCATCCTTATGGCGCCAAGCCCTGCAGTGGGGAGGGGAGCTGCAAATTCCAGGTGCCACCCACGGTAGGGAGAGCGCTCCTATCTCCAGGCCCTGCCATGCACGCGGCTTCATTCCGAGACCGTGTCTGAACACCGCAGCTACACAGCGGGCTGTGGCACCTGCCCCAGCCGGAGTCCAGGCCCTGAGGCTCCCAAGGCCACAGCTTCAGATTCTGGCCTTTGCCCAGGTTGGAGCTTCGTCCGCATGGGGTTCCTGGCCCCTCCCCCTCCACTCCCTGCCAGCCCGTACATACACAGAGGGGACCTGGGAGCCCACGGGCTCTGGAGGTTAGCCAGAGCTGAGTGGGGAGCACGCCCTTGCCGACAGCAGGCTGTTTTCCAGGGGGTCGGAATGCTGAGTCCTCCCAACAACAGCTCCTTCCCGCAGGCCCGGGTGGGACCTCCATCCCCGCTGGGTGACCCAAGCCCAGCCAGGCTGCAGCCCGGCCTCTGGGGAGGCACGCCAGAATTTTTCCTTCTCCAGTTTCGGGATTTGATGGAGAACAGATGTGTACACATCTGGCTCAGCAACCCCCCAGCCTCACCTTTCCAGTCCCCCAAACCCTCAGACAGCGCAGGGAGGCAGGGGATGGGGCCTGGGCCGGGGGAGAACTGAACTCTGGGTCCCACGCAGGCAAGGCATCCTGGCAGCGGGTCGGGGGCACAGAAAGCCCCAGTGCCCCTGCCAGCGTGCCCAGACTAAACAAAGGTAGGAAGGGCCTGGGCGAAGCAGCTGTGGCCAGTCCTCAGGTCCCCACCCTCCCCTGGGCTGGCCTGGGCACACTTGCTAGAGAACAGGCCCTGAAACCATCCAAAGACAACGAGGCGCATGTTTGCTCTCTGCCTTCTCCCCAGGCCTCCTTTCTCCAATTCTCTCCCCTCCTACACACCCCAGGCTGCCCAGAGAACCGCACGCCCCAAACAGTCACCACGGAGACCAGCAGCCCCTCGAAGTCGGGCCCCCTTCCCCCAAGGCCCCCAGCCTTCTCCATCCTGGCTGCGGGCCAGGATCACCCAGAGAGACACCCCAGACCTGTCGGCCGGAATCTGCAAGGATAAAGCCCAGGAATCTGTATCTTCAACACACCACACAGGTGCTTTGCAGGTGACCAGCCTGGCCCATGTCCCCCTCCTCAGGCACCTTAACAGCAGGGCAAGGGGTGTTGTTCTCATGGAACAGATGCAGGGACTGAAGCCCAGAGAGGCTGTGACTTGCCCAGGGTCACACAGCAAATGAGTGGCAGAGCCAGTCTCAGTAGCCGTGCCCAGGACCTCCCTCCCCCATTGGTAACCTCTGCCACCCCCGCGCTGGTGGCCGCAGAGCAGGGCCTCCACACTCACCCCTCCGGCTGGATCTCCTCGGCCCCGGGGGCCTCGTCAAGGTACCAGGAGTCGTCATCCGCTGCCCCGGAGGAGCTCTGGTTCCCTGCGGCCTCTGACGACATTCTCCGTCCTTCTCCTGTGACCCCCAGATGACAGAAAAAAACGCCACTACAGATGTGAAAAGAGGCTTAAGAGAGAAAAAAAGAAAGAAATCCCAAACAAAGAAACATTTTTCTTTAATCCTAAAGGTTACTTTCTTGCTTTTAGCTCTCTGGGAAAAGCCCGTGTGGGACTGTGGCCCTGGGCAGGCTGGCACGGAGGAGGGGAAGGTCCTCTCGTGTCCCTCCTGTCCTGTCCTGCCCAGTCTCGCCTGGTCCTGCAGAGGCAGTTATCCTCTGCCTCGAGGTCCTGGGGTCTTGCCGGAGCTTCTGTCTGTCTGACCGCCACCAGCAGGCCTTTGTTCAAAGGACCGTTTTCAAAGAAGGTTTGCTCAGTCCTAGCCGTCCACAGAGACCCCCCTTCCTTTCCCCTCCCCAAGCCCACCTAGATGGACCCACAGGCACACCAGGAGGGAGGCCAAGAGGAAGGAGCTGCAGAGATGAAAGGGTGGGCGGGCCAGGGGCAGCTCCGCATGGCCTGCCGGCCCTCCCAGCTGGCCCCCTGCCCCTCCCCATCTCTGGGGTCCTGCCGAGGCCCCCACCTAGCTCAGGCTCCCTTGAGCCCCTCCCAGCCTCAGCCTACCTCTCTCTGGCCCCTTTGGGCCTCAGTGATGGGAACACACCATAATCCTTGGCAAATCCCCCTCCTCGGGGAGGAGGCCCCAGCTCCATTGGCAGCCGAGCCCTGGAGGGGTGTGGCCAAGAGGGGCCGGCACCTGACTTCACACACATACCTGCCTTCAGCGCCTGCCCAGAGCTCCCAGCCTTTGCCGGCCACATCTGCAGTGGCCCTCATGTGAGCCCAGCCTTGCAGCAACCCAAGGAGACAGACCACGGGGGCTGGGCCGGGGGTGGAGGCAGGGACAGGGAGTCTGTCCATTCCTTCTCTTGGGGTTTCCACGAAGGCGGCAACATGTGTCTCACTAGTAAACCCTTTTTGTTCCTGCGACTTGATTTCACAAGGAGATAACTCACCCCCACGGGGCGGATGTTCTTTAAACACAACCAGACCCATGGGCAAGCAAGAAGAGCCCCGCCTGCCTCCCCCTCCTGCTGGCGGTGGGGGAGGGGAGGAGAGGGCTCCTCCTCATCCTCCCTCCACTAAGGAGCCCGACCTCTGGCCCACTCCCTCCCCTCTCCCTGGGCCCAGCCCCCAGGGAGGGGCAAGGTGCAGAAGAGGGCAGACAGAAGTCCTCAGGCCACTAGCCCTGGCCTGAAACTTTGAGGGCCCCTATCCTTCCAACCCCACAAGGGGCTTGGGTCCTGGCCCCACCCAGCTAAGGCATAATCATTCAACAGCTTTTTTGAAAAGACATTCATTCACTTGTTCGTTTAACATAAATTAATGGAGCCCTGCTGTGTGCCAGCACTGTTCTGGGCTGTGGGATGTGAGAGATTCCAGGGGGGAAGAGCAAAGTAAGTAGCCTCAGTAGCCTGAGGGTGACAAAGGGAAAGCACAGGGTGACCTGGCACTCCCGTGGGGACCGCATGTGGATGACAGAACTGGCCGAGCTGGGGGATTCTGAGGAAATAGGCTGTCAGCGGAGGTCTGCAGCAGGGAAGAGTCTGCCGGGCAGAGGGGCAGGCTGAGGGCGTGGGAGAGGGGAAAGTGCTGGGGTGGAGGGACAGCGCAAGGAGCAGCCAGGGCTAGAACTCCACACTCGGTGGCACCCGCAGGGCAGGATTAGAGCCTGAGTGCTCGATCAGCCTTGGTCCCTCCCCTCCTTCCCAAATGGCCCCTCTTCCAGGAAGAGGGCTCTGGCTCCCCTCCCCCGTCGCACAGAGATGCCCGTGCCTGCTGACTCAGAGCTGAACCTGAACTTTACTTGATGCCAAGCAGGAGCCCACACTGGTCCCTCTGATCCCTCGGGGTGGGGCAAACCTCGCCCCCAGGCCTGGGAGTGAGCTCCAAGGGCAGCAGGCTGGCCCTTCCTCCCGTCCCGCCTCCATGCCCTAATGCACAGCACCTGGCCCGGGGTCAGAGGGGGTCTGGAAATTGAGTCTGGCAAAGCCATTGCTTGTTCTGGTGACCATCGTTCATCTGTGGGCATGTCCCTGTCCCGAACAGGCTGTGTGCCCTGGGGTCCACCGCTGGGCTTCCGGAGCCCCTGCTCCAACACCAGAGCCCTTCACCGCTCGGGGCCCCAGACCTTTACCTGCCGAGCAACCAACTCCTATCTGATTTCAAATCTCCAGTTGGAGTCCTGTTCCAGACAGGGAGCTCACCCCTCTACAAAGCAGAGATGTCCCTGGCGGGTCTCTAGGCCTATCCGACACCATGTGCTTGCTTGGAAGGAGCTTAACTCTGCCTGCCTTGGGCCATTGTGTTCATTCATTCATTCAGCAAACGTCCCTCGTGCTGACTGTGTGCCTGGCAACGTTCTGCCCGCACCGCATGGAACTTGACATGCAGTGGGGTCGCGGGGACACAGCGTGGCTGGAGTGCTGGGAGGGACGATGACGTGGGGAGAGAAGACACACAGGAGGGCTGTGTTAGACGCGGTGTCAGGGAGGCCTCGCCAGGAGGGCTGTTTGCCCATACCTGCAGGGAGAGAGGGTGTGCTCCATGAGGCTGCCCGACGGAGCCTCCCGCAGCCCCGGCCAGCACACGGGCCCGGCCAGGCCCAGACACAGACCCTCCCCACAGCAACCTGGTCCCAACCCCGCCCTGCCCCCAAGGGACTTCCCGCGCACGCCCCATCCCTCAGGGCTGGCCCAGGGTGGGCAACACCCCGTCCCTCCTCTCTGGGGGAGGCAGAGGCCACCTCCAAGGTGGCCCTAAACAGAGGCAGGGAGAGCTTGTCCCGCTGCCCCAGTGTGGGCACAGCAGGCAGAGGGCAGCCTTGGCCAGGGAGCCAGTCCGTGGCGCGAGGCCAGTAGGGCGGGCTGGGGAGGCAGCCTAGCTGGGTTTGAGCCCGGGGCTGGAGTGTGGTCCGCAGTGAGTCCCTTCCCCTCGCTGGGTCTCACCCCCCCTCTGTCCAGCCTGGAGATTCTTCAATTGTGGGCTCTCCCTCCAGGGCCCCCACTCCCTGCCCTCAGTGACACCATGGCCCAAGAATGTGGAGCCAGCACACCAGTCACTGGCTGTAGCAAGGTCAAAGCCACAGAGAGCTGGCTGTGACTCCCCAGGCGCTCCCACTGCCTTCTGCCCACCCGCCCTCCCGGCCCCAGCTCTTCCACCCACCCTGGTGAAGGCAGGGGCAGGCTGGGTTGAAGATCCATGGATCCTGGGTGGCCGCATGGCTCCAGCTGGAAGGCTGACCCCACTTCTTGGAGTCCAAGGTACCTCCTGGGCTTGGGGCTCCCGTCTGCACAACGGGAAGGTGAGGATTGCCTGTGAGGAGGGTGCCACCGGCCAGACTGCAGGCTGCAAGAAGTATTTCTCCGAAGGCCTGGGTGGCAGAGTCCAGGCCTGCCCTCCAGAGCCGGCCTTACCGAGACACTCACACCCAGAGTCCAGCCCCCACCACCGGGAGAGGAGGCTGGGGAGTGGTATCTGGGAGACGGAACTGCAGAAGCCGGGCGCGTGGAGTGAGGAGATGGCTTGGGCAGGCTTGCAGGCTTCCCGGAGGAGGGGGCCCAGGAAAGATTGGAAACGGTAGCAAGGATGAAGTATAAGCGTCTTAGCAGGCTGAGAAGCGGAGTGTGAGAGGCGAGGAGAGAGCACGGCGGGTCAGGGCAGGGCTGTCTCGCGGTGACCTGCTGCGCCCACGTGGCGCACTCAGACGGGCTGATGCCAACGTCCCAGGAGCAGCCCAGGCCAGCAGGACTCCCAGCTGGGCACAGATGGGGGTTGGCCAAGCCCTGCTCGCTGTGGGAAGGGGTCCTAAAAAGCTTCTAAAAATCTGAGCCAATGGAGGCCATCTGACATCTGGGCCTGGCACAGAGCTGCCCTGTCCCTTAGGCTGGAGCTGGCCTATGAAGGCTTGGGACAGAGCTTCCTTCCTCCCTGTGTTTTTGTTCGAGTTGATTAAACCTGAGGAATTTTTGCATCCAGGAACAGAGGCCACGTGCGTGCCTTTGGCAGCCCGTGGTCACCAACATCCTCAAAGGGCAAAGTGCTTTGCTTAGAGGGAGCTGACGGCCAGCCAGAAGGAACGGGGAAGGCCAGCACCCCAGAAACACCCCCCAGATCTCTCAGAGCACCTCCAGCATCTCAGCGACATTTCCAGAATTTCAGTTATGCAACAAGAAACCCTGGCGTCTCAGTGTCGCCCCAGCCCCCAGAACTTTGGTGACACGTCGGAGGCATGCGACACCTCGGCACCCTCAGACTCTGGTGACTCTAGTGCAGGCTGGAGCAGGGCGCCCAGATGCCAGAGCCTGTAAGTGGCACGGAAAGCCCGGGGCCCCTGTCACTGTCCCCCTCCCTTCTCCCCCTGGGCTCTGAGCCGGTGGCGCACAGCCGAGCCACACCCCAGCGCCCACAGCACCCTCGTCCCACAGCACAGCAGAGAGCGCCCAAGGGGGCGGGGGTGGCCAGGGAGCCTGCCTGTGCAGCCTGAGCCCCGAGAGCCCATGGGGAAATGGCCCAGGCACAGTCAGCCCCACGCAGACGAGCGCGCACACACCCCAAACTGACCCCCTCACACAGAGGGGCTTCACTCTGGCCCCAGACCAAGCCTGACGCCGGGCAGTGGCTGGGCAGCAGTATGATTGGCTGCCAAGCTCGAGAGGGAAGAGTGTAGGTGGCCGTCTCCCCTGCCGCTCTGCCTCCTACCTCCCCTCCCACGTGGGAGGGTCAGAGCACACCCGATGCGCCCTTCCTGGCATTCTCTCCACCCACTCCTGGAGCACTCTCTGCACGGCCCCACAGTGCCTGAAACCGCACCCCAGGCGCTGGTGCCTGTGCAGTCGGCATCGCCCTCTCTGGGCTCCACTGCCCCAGTGCCATATGGGAGGGGCATACACCTCCAAGGCGAGGATATTTGGCCCTTTTCCCCCAAACCTGATGGCCCAGGGGAGTGGGAATGGGGAGACAAAAGAGGTCCGGAAGCCGGGTGTGGTAGAGCACAGCTGTAGTCCCAGCTACTCCGGAGGCTGAGGCCGGAGGATCGCTTGAGCCCAGGAGTTCAAGACTATAGTGAGCTATGATCGTGCCACTGGAATTCTCATACCCCTTTCACCAACAGCATTATTATAACATGAGGGACTGGGGCAGGCTACTCTGGAATGAAGGTGGACTCTGGCGAGGAGGAGAGTAGCTGGCTGTTCCAGGGGACCAGTGTGTTCTTCCCTTCCCAGTGGGCAAGGCTAGAACAGACTTGGAGGAGGGAAGGCAGATTTTAGCTCAAGACAAGGGAGACTTCTTACTCTAACAGAGTGGTGAGCCTCCCATCAAAGGAGGCAATCAAGAAGAGGCAATTGCCATCAAGATCCTACAGAGGGTTTCCTGCTTTCAGAGGAGAACTTGCCAAAAGGCCACAAAGGTTCCCAGCTATAAGAGCCCTGGATTCTCTTTTCCCTGGGTTGGTGCCCCCATGATCTGGCCTTGAGATGTAGGCTTTGTGCTCCCCTCCTTCCTCACTCAAGACACTGACTGCTGGGCAGGTGCCCTGAGTTCTCTCTCTTTGTTCCCCTGGTGACCACAGGATGAGGTTCTCCAACAACGTGTAGGCCACAGGCAGTCAGCCTGGCCCAGACATGACTCTTCTGACTTCTCCTTGCCCTTTGGAGCTCCCACTCGCCCCCCAGTGTCCGGTCTCCAACCTTATCCATCAGAATCGCTCAACCCCACCATTCCCGCCCTCTCCTTGCCTCTAAGCCTTGGTTCATGCTCTATCCTCCACCCACCCCATGTGCCTTCCCCGTGCTTAGCCTGGTTCCAACCCAACCTGCCCTCCGAGCATGGCTCTAGCCCCACCCCCCGCAGGCTCCTGACCTCTACCTTCTGCATCCCTTCCTTTCCCTTTATTGATCACTTCAGGCAGGCAGGGTGCTCCCCCAAACTGGGGCCGCCTCCCCTGAGCCCCAGCACTAGCTAGGCTGGGATCCTGGAGGGATGGCTGCTTGTGTGGTCTCAGCAGGTGGCCCTGAGCAGTGTCCCCAGCACCTGCTTTAAAAGGTGTTTCATCTCCTCCTGCCAGAAGGCAGCTCCCTCCTTCCCTAGTCTGGCCCTGCCCCTCCTCCTTGCCCCCGCCACCCTGTGATTCCAGGATCAGAGAAGCCCACCCCACCCCCATCTCCCCAGCTGGGGCCCAGAGCAGGGGCTGTGGCCCCACACAGCACTCAGGGCGGCTTGTCCCCCATCACAGCCTCTCCCCGCAAACCATTTGCCGGAAACTTGATCTCCTTGGCCCTCCAGTCACCTCGGTGGAGAAACGTGCACGGGGCTTTGATGGCTGAGTTTCCCCAGCTGCGACCATGGATGGGCTCAGGAACCCCCTATGTACCCTCATTTGTCACCATCCATCACTCCCAGAAGGCAATTTCCTGATGAATTGCACTGAGCCGGAGGGGAACCACCAGCTCAGCGTTTAATAACCGATCAGCATCTTGCCGCTGCCCAGCCGGCCCTGCTCATGCAGGGGTTTCTCACACCTTCTCGGGCCTTGGGGCTGGAGCTCCAGGTGTGAGCCCTTCCAGGAGGAGTCAAAAAGGCCCCAGGGAGCTTTCTCTCTCGCCCCTCATAGAGAGGCTGGGCCTCTGGGGTCCTGCTCTTCACCCCAGGCATGTTCCTACAACCTCCAAGGCTGCAGGACAGTGGGGCCTGATGCCCCAGCACCTGAGCACCAGCTCCCCATGTCCCTCCACCCCCAGAGGGGCGCCCTGCAGGGACACAAACCAGACTGGGGAAGGAAACCGGTGCTCAAACCTGGTGCTGTGGCAGGCGGGGAGGGCAGGGAAGGGCTAAAGGGGAGGATAAGAAGGGGGCCCTAAGTCCTCAGGAGAAGGGAGCTGGAGAAGGTATCTTCTTGTTCTTGAAAGAAAAAGGGGGTGCAGCCAATACAAGGGGGGGTGGCCCAGAAGCACGGGCTTTCAGATGTGAGATTGGCTCTCGGTGACAGTGAAGACCGCAGGAGGGAAGGCTATGGGGGGACGGTGCCAGGGCTGTGCCTGCCGGGCAGGGAAAAGGAAGGGAGGGGGAGAGCCACCAAGCAGAGACGGAAGTGTCAGCCCGCTCCCATGTGGCCGTCCTCTGGCCGTGGAGAAGGACATTTGGATAGAGAGGGTTAAACCCACACAAAGAGCGTGAACCTTTGGCTCATTTCTAAGCACTTGTGCTCAAGGAATGCTTGCATATCCGCGCAGAGGAGACGCCCAGGGCTGCTCGTCAGGGCAAAACGTCGGCAACAAGCCCAACGTCCATCGGTAAGCTTCGGCAAGTCTACATGTGAAGTGCTATTTTGCTGTTAAAAAGAATGAGGTACCTCCCTGTGGACTGACACGGTGGAACCTCTAAGGTATATTGCCAGGCAACAGTAGCCAAGAAAGCAAATTGCTGAACAATACATAAATCGTGATCCATCAGATCTTCTTTAACTAGGGAGACATATGTGTGTATGTGTGTATATATAAAAAGTGAATCTGGCAGACACACAGCAAACTGTTCACAGTGGTCACACTTAGGGGAGGGATGAGTCTAGAAAAATGAAGGAGGGTTTTCGCTTGTTTGAAATGTATATTTAAAAACTTACATCGCATGTGTAATTTTTTGTAATATGCCTGCTGTGAGTAAGGAGCTGTGAAGGCATCTCTGAGCTGTGTGAAATGGATCCTGTCGCCGGCCGGCACTGCACATTCCCCGCCTCCCTCGAGGCTAGATGTAGCCCTCAGGCCAAGTATTGGACAGTGAGATGGAAAGCGCAGTGTTGAGCATAACTCTAAGTATGTATTCTCAAAAGAGAGACGTTTTCTTTACCCCTTCCTCCTCTGGCTACCATGCAGCTGTGATGGCTGGATCTCAAGCAGCCACATTGGACTGCAAGGTGGAGGTCATGAGTTAAGTAGGATAGAGAAGTAAGTTAGCTGCAAAGACAGAGCCTGCGCTAAGGCCAGATTGTAAGGCTGAAGGAGACCTCAGAGACCCCTGATCCACCACGTCCAAAGGACGTCCAGAGAGGCCACATGACATGCCGGGGCCAGTGACTGAGCCAGGGGGAGAATTGCCAGAGATTACTGTACACACCCCGCTCACCACTCTTTCCCCAGAAACCTTCCTTCCTAGAGCTTGCACTCTTTTCCATTCTGTGGCTGGAAGACCCTCTTTGGGGTCAGGGGAAGCCCCCAGAGTTGATCAAGCCAAATGGCAGGGCTGGGACATCTCTCTCAGCATTGCGCCCAATGACAGCACAGCAGAATCCCTGCCCGTGGGGCCCGCCGGGGCCACTGTGGGTCTGTCTGTCACCGTCTCCTGTTTGGCTTCTTTCTCTCTTTCTGTCTTGTTGTTCTTCTGTCTGCCTTTCTATCCCTGTCCTTCAGTGTCTGTCCACCCTTGTCATTACCCCTCCCTGTCTCACCCTCTGTCTGACTCAGTCTGTCTCCTCTCTTTCCGTCTCTCCTTCTAACTCTCAGCCTCATTCTTTCTTGGTCTAACTCTGGGTGTCTCTCTATGACTCTCTGTCCTTTCCTATTTGGTTTGGTTCGGGGTTTTTGTTTATTTGTTTGTTTGTTTTTGAGACAGGGTCTCACTCTGTTGCCCAGGCTGGAGTACAGTAGTGTCAGCCCAGCTCATGGCAATCTCGAACTCCTGACTCAAGCAATCCTCCTGCCTCAGCCTTCTGAGTAGCTGGGACTATAGGTGTGCACCACTGCGCACGGCTGTTTTCTACTTTTAGTAGAGACAGGGTCTCTTGTTCAGGGTGGTCTCAAACTCCTGACCTCCAGCCTTTCAGAGTGCTCGGATTACAGGCGTGAGCCGCCGCTCCTGGACTGTCTTTCCTTTGGTTTCTCTCTCCTGCTCTTTGTTTTGCTCCATGCCCCACTATAACCACCGCTGCCTGGCCATAAAGTTTGTATCTCTCCTCCGAAATGTTTTAGGTGGTGCCTTTTCCAAGCTAGCCCTGCCCTGCCTAAACCTCTGACCTTGGGCCCTGTCCTGGGCTGACTCAGTGCTGCCCCACCAGCCTTCCCCTACTCACCTGTCCAGTCTGCCCTGCGGCTGCGGGAGGCCGGGAGGCGGTGTGGTCTCAGAGCCCCCAGAGGCGCAGGGCCCGGGCCGGCTGACACTGCTCAGGGCTTTGTGCCCTCGGAGCCTGGTGAGGCAGCTGGGCGGCTGGGCACACAGAGGCGAAGGTCAGTGCTGCTGGCGCGGCCAGCGAGGCCCCCTCTCCCTCCTGCCAGGCAGGACCGTTAGCGCCTCCGAGGCAGGGCTGGCAGAGGGGCTGCTGGGGCAAGCCCAGGGATCGCTGGCGCAGCCTGGCTCCCTCCTCCAGCTTCTGCTCAGCTGAAGGCCAGAGCAAGAGGCCTTCAGGGATGGCCTTAGACTCTCCTGACAGTGCTCAGGGCAGGAGCCTGGAGCAGGAGGCCAGGAGGGGAAAGGTGTGCCACCTGATGGGGCGTAGGGGACAGGATCACAGCTACCACTCCTGGGCGACAGATTCAAGGTAGCCAGACCCTCCGTGGAGGGACAAGACCAGGCTTCTAATTTTGTCTTTACTCCGTACTAGCTGAGTGACCACAGTGCGCCCTGTTGAGACTCGGAAAACAAGACCCCAAAATGCAGCCTGCGAAGCAGCAGTTCCCCTCTGCCCTTCTCCTGCCCCTGCCTCTCAGTCCCATCCTCCTCGATCGCTTTCCCCAAGGGTCCCAGAAACCAGAACCCCTTTTCCCCAAAGCCGGCCATAGAGCCTAAAATCATCACTCTGACTTTTCCTCTGCCTTTCTGTGTACAAACCAGCCATTAAAAAAATTATCTGACCTGCCCTGTTTGACTGCAAGTCTAAAGACCCCATTCCAGAAAGGGCCCTGGCCCCACGCCCAGAAGGAAGAAACACACCCTCAGGGAGGCCACGTGGAGTCCAGCCCGGCGGGCCTGGCTGTGCCCACTCAGCCTAGCAGCACCAGGCCACACGCTTTGCGTCCAGTCATCTTCCTACACGGCTGTCGGCGCTTCGCTGGACCTGCGTGCGGAAGTGGGCAATGTCCCCTGCCCCTCTGGGCCTTCCTCCTGAAGGCGCCGTGTGCACACTAACAAATTGCTATGCCTCTTCTCCTGCCAGTCTGCCTCTCACCAGGGGTCCCAGTGAGCCCTGAGGGGTGAAGGGGGACTTTTCCCTTGGCCTCTACGGTCCCGTCCTTGATTTTGCCATCTGCGCAGTGGGAGAGACTGGCTGCCCATCTGAGTCTGCGGCCCGTGGCCTGTGAGCCCCGCACTGTGGCTGAAGGGCGTGGGCAGTGGGCCTGGGACGGTTCCCTGCGGGGGAGGGAGGCTGCTGGGGGCTGCGGGGGAAGGCCCCGCGCGAAGCAGTGACGGCCACAGGATCACAATGGCTGGGCAGGCAGGAGGCCTGAGGTCCATCCCTTCGCCACCTACCTGATCTCTCTGAGCCTCTGCTCCCTCATCTGTGGAAGGGGTAAGGGTCCCAGCCCCAGGGCCTTGGCAGGACCCAGGCCGCACAGATGGCCCTGCTTGCAGGGAAGATTCAGTCTAAGTGGGCAGTGGGTTGGGGGTGGGGAGGAGTTGGGGGTGGGTCTTTGGGAACCAGGACAAGAGCCCTCAGGAGCCATGGGGGGGTGTCAGCTGGGGAGGCTGAAAGGAGCCCTTGTGAGAAGCAGGAAGGGCCCTCTGCGGTGGGCTAATTACAGCCCAGGCTCCTGCAGACAAAGCCAGCAGCCATTCTTCTGGCCATTCTTCTGGGGAAGAAAGAGGACTCAAGGGCCCCATTGAGATCTTTCAGGCTGGGGCTGCGGAAGGTGGCTCAGAAGTCAGCCTGCCAAGACTGCGCCCACCCTCCCAGCTCACCTCCCACCACCTGCCCACACCCGACCCCCTTCCCTTCTCGGCTCCTCTGTGGGAGCCAGGCCTACCACCAGGGACAGGCTCACCTGTAGTTTAAATCTTTTGAAAACAGTAGGAAGAAAGCTGAATCAGGGAGGCAGCTTTAAGTAGAGCCCTGGGAAAGGAGTAAGGATCTAGTCCTGCTACGCGTCCTAGGCTCAGTTTCTTCCATCTGTGAAATGGGAGCGCCACCCAGCCCTGACTTGCTAAGGTCCATTGAGGTTTCCAGACTCCCTCCACAGAACTGAGGCCAGGCCCAGAGAAGCCTGACCATCAGGAGCCCCTGCCTCCCGCCCTGCTGCTTACCCACACTGCTCCCTTTCCCCCAGGCACCAGCTGGCCCACTGAGGCACCAGGCTGTATCTCCAAGTCCAAGTTTGACTCAAGAGCCTGAAATGGTCTTTGCCTCTCACATTTGGAATCCAGATGAAATAGCCAAAATTATTAAGTATGGAATGTCTGATTTCCTTAAGTACTAAGTTTGACAGTTGATATCTCTGACATTTCACTTTGACACTTCTTTTTTATTTTTACTGTGAAGGAACATCCTCATTGTTTCAAGCACATGGTTTGGCTTGTGATTATCTTTCAATTTTTTTAGAGCAATTTTTGTGAAACCATGGGTAAGTTAAAAATTCAGGTTATTTTTTATTATGAGTTCCATCATGGAACTAATGCAGCGCAGACAGCTTGAAATATCAACAAAGTGTTTGGGAAGGATGTGGCTAATGAACACATAGTATATCGATGGTTTGAGTTCTGTTCTGGTGATTTAATCTTGAAAATGAGCCACGTGGGTGACATGAGACCAAGGTGGATAATCATGAGCTGAAAGCTGTAGTGGAGCCAAATCCATGTCAACCTATGCGTGAATTAGCAGCAAGCTTTGACGTTACTATTCCAACAACGTTGGACCATTTGAAACAAATCGCAAGGTAAAGAAGCTGGATAGATGGGTTCCGCATGAATTAAATGAGCGTCAGAAGAGAAATCGTCTTAAAGTTTGCCCTTCTTTGCTGTTGTGACATAAAGGTGACCCATTTCTATACCCTTCTGTGATGTGTGATAAAAAATGGATTCTTTTTTGACAATTGCAAGCATTAGGCACAGTGCTTGGATAAAGATGAAGTGCCGAAACACAGTCCAAAACTGAATATTCATCAAAAAAAGCTAATGGTGTCTGCTTGGTGGCCCCGCACTGGTGCTATCCACTCAGCTTCATGAAAGCTGGTCCATCCATTACAGTGGGAGTCCACAGCAACCAGGTGGACGACATGATGAGGAGGCTTGCGAGGAAGCAGTCAAGATTGGTCAATAGAGACAGGCCAATCCTCTTGCAAGAAAATGCTAGACCACATGTTGCACAAACAATGCTGCTCAAACTATAACAGCTGGACTTGGAAACTCTCTGTCATCCACTGTATTCACCAGAACTTGCACCAACTGCCTACCCCTTCTTCCAGGCATTGGGCCACTTCTTGCCAGGAAAAGTATTCAATTCTCAACACACTGTGGAAAATGTCTTTCACAATTTCATCACCACTTGCTCTCCAGGCTTCTTGGCTGCTGGCATAAAGGAGCTGCTGTTAAGATGGCAAAACTGTGTCCGTAGTTCAGGTGCATACTTTGATTAATTGTACCGCTTCTTGTTTGAGATATAATAAACTAAGCCTTTAATTTGAAAACTGATATTTCATATTTAATGACCTACTATTTCTTATTCCTTTCTGCACAAGCAGAAGCTAGGTCAGGTTTGTTCATCAATTCATTTATCCTTCAATTCATTCATTCATTCATTCATTCATTCATTTGTTCATTCATCCCACATTGCTTTAAACCATTCCCCTGGCAGCATTCCTTGGCCAGCCCTGTCCTGGACTCACAAACATGATCCCTGAAGGAACATTCTGTCAAATGTGGGCAGGTCACCATGTGAGACAGAAGAGTCGTGCAAAATGAGGTGGGGAGGTTGTCCCTGCCCGGGAGGAGGCTGTGAGCCAGTCTGCCGAGGAAGAGGAGCAGGGTTCATCGGGTGGAGCTGGGAAGTTTGGCAGAGGGAATCGCAGGGCAAGGGCAGAGAGGTGAGAAAGGGCAGGCCTGGCCTGGAGCAAAAGCGAGCCTTCCCCAGGACATTATGCTAAGTGAAATAAGCCAGTCACAAAAAGACACATGCTATAGGATTCCAATTCTGTGCGGTTCTGAGTAGTCAGATTCATAGAGACAGGAAGTAGAGTGAGAGTTGCCAGGGACTGGGGAGGAGGAGTTGTTGTTTAATGGGTGCAGAGTTTCAGTTTTGCAAGATGAAAAGAGGTCTGGACATTGGTTGTGCAACAGTGTAAATGTACTTAACACCACCAAACTGCACATTTAAAAGTGATTAGGATAATAAATGTCATGTTATGTATATTTTATCACAATTTCTTTTTTAAAAAGCAACCATACACATACACCAAAAAAAAGTAAGCCTTCCCTGAGATGGAGTGGGGGAGGGGAGGCCAGCAATGGGAGGGGGTGGGGATGTCAGGAGGTGGAAGGCCCTAAAACCTTACTAAAGCCAACAGAGCCACCTCAGACCTTTTGCAGAAAGTCGGAGGGAGGGACAGAAGAGAGGAAGGGGGAGAGGGCAGTGTTGAAGGGACTCGGGTGAACAGACCAGGAGAAGATGCGACTGTGCGCGTGGCCCTGCTTGCAGGGCAGGGGCTGGGCTGCGGTGCACAGAGGTTGGCTCCAAGGCTGAAGCACCTCACCCCCATCTTGTTACATTTCCGGGGGGTGCTCCAAACATGCAAGAGAAGAGAGCTGCTCTTACTGAGTCACTAAGCTCCAGCACCTTAAAGCTGGCAGATACAAACTATGGCCACCAGACCCAGGTTGGGTGGGCCATGCCCAGCCGTTGAGACCAAGGTTTCCAAGAGTCCTCTGCCACCCACCCGCTCCCCCAAATGGCCATGCTGTGGCCTTGCCCAATATGATTATAAAGTTCAGACCAACTGAGATGAAGGATGACTTATCTACCCCACCCCCTTATCATTCAGAAAGGGCACTGACACCCAGAGAGAAGGGAACTGGTAAACTTGACCTACAAGTCAGGTGACTGGAACTCTTTGCTGCAGTTTCTCCTTGGGGAACTTGAAGAAACTGAATTGCAATCATTGCAGAAGCCTGCCACATACATTAGGACCCCTAACTGGGTACTTTTACAGTTCTAAGGCACAGAATTTCCTAATATAATGCATTTCAGTCTCTGAGCCAGTCCCAGGACATGTTTAGTAGGAGAAAGTGTAGACTTAAAGCCCTTGGGCTCAGATCTCAGCTTGTACACAGTAGCCATGTGATCTTGGGCGAGGTTCCTGACACTTTCTCAGCCTCAGATTCTCATCTGTACAAGGGGAAATAATTACATCTGCCTCACAGAGCCACATAGAGCGCCTGGTATCCAGTAGCTTCTGACGAAGGGTGTCATGGGTGATGATGATGATGAGGTTGAAAAATGATGACAGTGATGGTGGTGATGGAAGTGACAATAGTGGTGCTGGTGATGCTGTTGTGGTGGCCGCGGTGATGGTGGAGGTGGTGCTAGTGACGGTGATGGTGATAGAGACAGGCATTACTGAGGTGTGTCCAGAATCCCCCATCTCCCCCTGGGTAACAAGACCCGGGATCGGGAGAAGGGATTCCATGTTGACAACTCTTTGGTGCGAGAGGCTCTGAGCTCTCTGCAAAGCGAAGCCGCGTCCTGCACTGTGCGTCTGGATTGAGGAGATAAACTAAGAGCATGCCCCCAGGGCACAAATACTGTCTCCCTTCCTTGGGAAGCTCCCACACGCCAGTCGAGGACCCTCGGGAAGGCACGGGCGCAGGCACGTGGAGACAGGCTCTCCGGCAACGGGCGGTTCTGAGTCCCACACACCTCTGTGCTCCCCGCACCGCAGTCTTCATCCTTGACCCATTCTCATTTTGCCATAGAGCTTACCATCTTCTACATTACAAGTTACTTATTTTCAATATTTGGTGTTCATCTTTGTCTGTCTCCACTCGCCTCCCCCATTGGACGACCAGCTTCAGAGGGCAGGAACTTTTGCTTGGTTCACTGCTATATTCCAAATGCCTAAATAGTACCTGACACAAGGTAGGTGCTCAATAAATATTTGTTGAAGGAATAAATGCTACAAGGGAGGGACCAATGGCTGCCTTTGTTCCTGGGTCAGGCCCAGCTTCCTGGCTTGTTACCTGGTTTCTCCTCAAACAAACAGAGAGGGCGGGGAGCGGCCTAGAGTGCCCAGCCTGCAGGCTTTCAGACTGGGCCAGGCAGGGACTGTGGGCGGGAAGGGGCAGTGCTCAGCCTGGAGGTCAGTCCCTAACAGTGGCCATGGCCTCCAGCACGCCCAAGCCCTGGGCCTCTGCATCCCTGATGAGCCAGAGGCTGAAGGTGGAGGAGAAGACACTGGAGCTGGAGTTCGAGGTCTTGCGTGTGGGGTTTAACGAGGGGGGCAGATATGTCCTGCGGCTGTCAGCTGAGAACCCCCTGCAGGCAGGCTCTGGGGCTGGGGTGCAGCTGCGCCTGAATGACGGGGACCCCCTCCCTGCCTGCTCTGCTGTCACTGGTGTCATCCAGCAGCAGGATCCGGGCCAGAGCCTCGCCCTCACCGGGAACAAGTTTATCTTTACTTTGCCCAAAGGTATGAAGTAGGGGCAGGGGGAGGGGGAGAGAAGGGCCCTGGAACTCCTGTCCAGCCCCGGCAGGGACCCCAGGGAGCCTCAGGGGAATGGGAGGGGCAGGATCAGAGCTCCAAACTGCATTCCAAAGCTCTGCCTGTGTCACCTTGGGCAAATGGTGGCCCTCTGTGAGCCCCTGCCTCCTTCAGTGTGATATGGGGACACTGACACTGGTCACATAAGGTAGGGTGAGGAGGAAATGGAAGGCAGATAAGAAAGGGCTTTGTGAATGTAAAAGTGCTGAGCACACAGCAGGTTAGGGCCAGTCCTGGGCAGTGGACTCTCCCTGAGTGACATTACACCAAGTGCTCAGCCCTGAGCACCACCCACTGTGGGTATGGGCGGTGGACGGAAACAAGGAGGCCTGGCCCTGCCTTCCGGGAGCTTCCATACCAGCTGGAGGGGCAGGGATCCCAAGCAGATAGTTAAGTGAGCTGAAGGGAGCAGAAGACCTATGCCCAGACTGCGAGGCCAGGCTGCCTGGCAGAGGAGGACACGAGGCAATAGGGAAACCAAGTCCTAGGCCTTAGGTGGGCAGAAATCGGGGCAGACTGAACTCTTCGCTGGTCTAGGCTGGTGGCAGGACCCCGGACCATGCCATAAGCAGAGAGCCCTCCCCTCCTCAGCCCCTCCAGCTTCAGCCCCACCCTCCCACCCCCGGCCATAGGCTTGGATTGGGCCTTGGTAACGAGAGAGAGCCATGGGTGGGGGCCTGATGGGGTCGCCCACCAGGGAAATCCTAGCAAAGCCCGCTTGGCTTCAACTCAAAGTCCGGGCAGCTGAGGTGTCCCCAGGGCCCTGCCTGTCCTTCTCTCCCCTGGGCAAAGACAGGGAGACCCCAGGGGCCATCTCTGAGCCCCATGCTCCCTCACCCAGGGTTCTGCAAGAACGACGGGCAGCATGACGCTCAGCTGCGGGTGGAGGCGTTGAGGCTGGATGGAGCCTCGGCTCGGACGGCCCGGCGGGTGGGCGAGGCCATCTTCCCCATCTTCCCACGGCCAGACCAGCCCCGCATGAACCTCGAGGCACGAGAGCACGAGGACCTGTACTGCTACTGCGGCAACCTGGCTCTGCTCCGGGCTGGCACAGACCCCACAGCCCGCCACTGCGGGGGCCTGGCCTACCGCGTGGCTTTCCACGTGCACCGGGCCCCTCGGCCTCCCGCCTCCGACTGCACTCCCGGGGTTGGCCAACCAGAACCGATGTCATCGTTCCCAGAGCCTCAGCTCCCCAGGCTGCAGGTGGGTGCTCCCTGGGTTCCAGCTCAGGTTCTGGGGTCCCCCATGTGGCCAGGAGACAGAAGTCTCCTCTTTTGCCCACCGTCAAGCCTATCTAGCTCCCACCGTGACTGGGAGGGCTCAGCCTGCGCTAGGACCCTGGCAGGCTCAGGCCCAGGTGTGGGACCTTATCTGAGCTATAGTATGGGCCCCGGTGTGGCCATGCTCTGCAGTAAGGCAGCATGTCTAGTCGGCCCCACAGCCTGCACAGGTAGAAACTGATAGCACAAGTAGTAGCCCGTGTCACCCGTGGAGAAACTAAGGCCCAAAGATGCTTGATTCCATTTAATGTCAACAGCATTTCCTGAGGACCTACGTGCATAACAGTACATTGAATCTAAAGCTAGACCAGTCCCTAAGCCCAGGGTATCACATGGCTTGAAGACAGTTGGGTACAAAGTGGGCATCACCCATGGTTCTGCAAGGCACTGCTGGAAGGAAAGCCGTGGTGAGGGAGTGTGCTTGTCATTTTGGTGCCTAGAAATGCTTTCTTGGAAGAGGTGTCATCTGAGATGAATCTTTCACGCACTCCTTCATTCACTCACTCGTCCATTCATCCATCCATCAACCCCATGCTAGGTAGGGTTGGCGACCCTGCGCTCAGGGGAGGGTATTCCAGGAGAAGGGATCACAACAAGCTGGCTGTGGGGAAGGGAAGGTTTGGCTGGCAGCAGGAGGACCAGCAAGGCTGGAAGCAGAAGTTTGTGACCAAAGGTGGCTGGCCCCCTGCAGCACCTCTCTGTCACAGTGCATTGGCCTGGCATCGATATGGAGCCCAGGGGTGCAAGGTAGACTTAGTTGGGCTGGGAAAGGGACTATGGATGGAGAAAGTCAAGGGCATATGGCAGAAGAGTGGGTAGGTGTTCAATTCAGGAGGCGATGGGGAAGTGCTGGGGGCGTCGTGTGGGAGAAACGGTGTCCGAGCTGTGCTTCAGGCTGAGCAACGGGGCAGCATGTGACAGCAGAACCAGAAGGCTGGCCAGGGACGCAGGACCAGCTTCTCCTGCCCAGGTTGCTCAGTCTGCTAACATGGCCCACTGTGGCCTCTTTCCATCCATTCATTCATCAGTTGATTGACACATACTTCTGACCACCTTCTGCATGCCCAGCTCTGTGCTGGGTGCTGAGCTTGTAAAATGAGATAGCTGTCACCTGCGTTCCTAGGTGACATTCTGTTCCCTCAGACTGCAAGCTCCCCGACTTCAGAGCCTGGGCCCTGGCTCTCCGCCCTACAGTTCATCACAGGACTGGGCATGCAGGAGGCTCAGGCTCAGGAGAAGCTGGCCTGCTCTCCAGGGCCCAGCATGCCCTGGCCGCCGGAGCCACAGGCTGTGGACAGTGCTCTTCAGGCTGCAGTTCTAGATGGGGGTGAGGAGGGGCGGGGCTGCTGGGGGAGGGGATTGACGGGATGTCCTTGGCAGCTCTAATTTCTGTTATTTAAAGCCATCATCTCCCCACCATGCTCCCTCTTAAAGTGTCAGATGTCTGCTTCTAGCAAGACAAGAAAATGACTTTCAAGGGAGAGGAAAATCGTTCCCTCCTGGTGGGTCAGCAATCACAGCCCTGAGGAAGGGCAGAAGCGCAGGGAGCAGACAATGGAGGGCTCTGCAAGGACACACTGCGCTTCCTCCCGCAGGGAGCTCAGTCCTCCTAAGAGGGCCTAAGGGAGGCAGGCACCTTTCTGGTGCTGCCACTTGGAGGCTCAAAGACACAGCTGGAAGGACAGCAGCAAGACCGGGCTCTCAGAGACCAACATTCAGTTCAAGGCCAGGAATGGATTTCTGGCTTCCAGACACAAATGTCTAGGTTCAAGGCCACTTCCTCCAGGAAGCCTCCCCAGCATTGATTTCCTGGCTTCTGTTCTCAGTCCTGTCTGCATCCAGCATTTCAACAACTGAATTTATCCAATTTAGAATTTCACTGCAGGCTCACAAATTGTTCTCCAATATGTGGAGGGCATGTCCCTTTGTTGGTAACCAGAACTGAGGGTGGTGGAGGTGGGAGCAGGGGGCCGCAGGTAGGGGTGGTTGGGAGTGTACTAATGAGGAGGGAGCCCAGGCAGGGCTCAGAGCCCACTGCCAGGCTGACTTTGAATCTGAATCAGTTGCTTCGTGGCCCTAAATGGCCGTGCTAGTGCTGTTCACCACATTTCCTGAGTCCTAGAGACCCAGGGACTGGAACAATCAAATCCCCTGAGCTAATGCTGTTGTAGACAGTGGACACCCTCCCTTCTCCAGCCCTCCATCTTCCTCCTCTGGGTGCGTGTGGAGAGGCATGTGGAAGGGACTGTCCCCATCAATATTTCCAGCACGTACAGCTGCAGCCTGCAGGATAGAGTCACTCCCTGGGCCCCTGGCCCCTGAATGGGGACACTTGGAGTGTGCAGGTGAGGGCTGCAGAGGGACTTTCCTGCATGGAAGGTAGCGGCCATGGGTGGCGCCCTTCCCCAGGCTCAGGGTGTTTCCTTTCCTCCTACCCCAGCACTGCCTCCTGTCACCCCTCGGCAGGTTTGAGACCATGTGGCTATACCACCCCAGCACACCAAGCCCCTCTCCCCCAGGGCAAGGGAGTTGAGCAGACCAGAGTGAGAGTGGCCTGTCCAGTGCTGGGCAGAGCAGGTCCCTGAGGCTGAGGAAAGCAGGAAGGTGCGGCCCGAAGTCTGGACGAAAGGCTGGACTCTTTAAAGGGCAACTGATGCCTCTTGGATGGATTGGGGGGGCAGGGGAGGCCACAGCAGCTCTGGGCCGAGAGCCTCCGGACCCCCAGGGGCCAGTACCCTCCAGCCCTGCAGATACCAAGAGATCCCTGAAGATTTAACTGCAACCTCCCAAAGGCAGAGCTATTTAAGAGGGAAACTTTGGGCTGGAAATTCCCAGGGATGAAATTTCTGGAAACATAAGTTTAAAATTCCTTGCTTGCAGCCCTGGGAGCCATCCTGGGAGCTCCCTCTCTATAGGGGCTGGAGCCTCCTCAGGCTTGGCTCCCAGCTCTGGGCTCCAGGTGGAGGAGGAGGAGGAGGAGGAGGAGGGGGAGGAGCATGGTGGGCCCCCTCCCCCAGCACTTACCTCTTCCAACAATGGTAGTTTTGTTTCATGGAAATTGTTCTGTTTCCCAGGAGCCTTTTAAATGATGCTTTCAAGGTTTTTTTTTTTTTATTCCTTCCGTTTAAAATACCTTTTTTTTCCTTGCCCTGGAGGGAAAAAAAAGAGAAGAAAAAGCTAATAAAGCAATCACCAAATGCTGAGCACCTGGCTCCACGCCTGTGGGTTCTGACTGTGGATTTGGCTCCAATAGGCTGGGGGCTTTCATTAAGAAGTGGGGGAGAAGGAGAGCAGTGGGCCGTGGAGCTGCTGCTAGTGGCTTGCCCAGCGTCCCCTCTGCCCTGTTCCTCTCACTCTGCCCCTCCTCCTCCCCGTGTGTCTCTGGTCCCGGTTCTGGCTGGAGCTCTGGGCCATACTCTCCAGCCCCAGGCATCCTCTGCCCTTGGGCCCAGGCTCTAAGTCCTCACTCACCCTGCTTTTAAATTCATTATGCCTTTTATGCTTTTATTGCTGGCTATTGCGTATTCTGTTTCTATTGCCCTGGAGACTAGAGCAGTTCAAGCGGGAAAGGCAGGCAATGTGGATTTCATTAACTTTACTCTTTACTGCCCATTTCATCTTGGTGGGGATACCTGAGGGAGGGCTGGCCTGGCTGGGGGAGCTGAGCTCTTTGTCCAGGCCCCTTCATCTCAGTGCCGGCCCTCAGGTCGGCTGGCTTCCCCTGTCTTGTGAAGCCTCCCTTCTGCTGCTCTGCCCACTCTCCTGGTGGAGGGGAATGTCACTGGCCCATTTTACAGGTGGAAAAACAGAGGATCTGGAAGGCAATGCTTGGGCTGCTACTGACAAAGTGGCGGGAGGCGGGGATGCTGAGAACAGGTTAGACCAGGACTGCCAGCCCCCTCCCAGGCGTCCCTTAGCACTAGGACCCCAACATTGCCCCTCCTCCTTTCCTGCTCCATCAAATACGGAGGACAGGAGGCAGGTCAGCCCTTCCTTGCAAATGAGGCTGTTTTATAGGCTTTAGAAAAACACTGCAATTGTTCCCTCAATTACCCTGGAGCGGATTGAATATATTAATCTCTCTCTTAACTCGAGTTAGGGACTCGGGCTGCCACCCCTCCCCCAGCCACCAGCTCCCCCCTCCCAGCCCCCACCCTCTAGGCCGGGCCCTGAGTGGTTGGTCCAGGCAGCATGCTTCTGCTGAGGCTGTGTCTACCATGCACACACGCGCGCGCACACACACACACACACACACACACACACACACACACACACACATGCTCTGCAGACAGCTGCTGTACATTTCTCTATCAATGTTCATTGATTTCCTCCTTTGCCACTATTTGGAAGAGACTTCTCCTTGAGTAAATGCAATCATGGGGCTCCTCTCCCCAAATAGAGGGCAGGGGGGGTGGGAGGGGGCTGGGTGGCTTCCCCTTCTGCTCCTGTGACAACTGCCTCCAGCTTAAACACACTCTGCCCCAGGCAGCTGAGCCCGGTTAAAAGCTACCTGAGGTTTCCCTTTGTAGCTCGGTTTTCTTTTATTCTGGGGAACAAAGCGCTGTCAAGGCATTCTGGAGAGAGCACAGTCACCACGCAGGGAGGGGCGCAGACCCGCCACAATGGAGGGGTGCAGAGGTGCAGCAGGCGGTTGCTGGCCCTGGGGAGGGTGGGCTGGAGGGCGCCCCTCCCCCACCCGGCGTCCCCACCCTGTCAGGAAGAGAGGACGGGCTAAACGCAGCACAGTCACCCTGCAGGCCCCCTGGCTCCTCACCCTCATCCTCCGTGGAGTGCTCTGAAACACTTTCTGCCCACCAGGCCCTGGGCATCATGGATGGTACCCACAGAAGCATGTCTGGGGGTCCCACACTTATGTCCTTGCCCACATCTGTCTCTCCACTCCCACCCTACCTGACTTCCAAGTCACCTGTAGGTGCCTATGGAGATCGATTGAGGCAAGTGCTTGGAACTCAGCGGGTAGAGTATGGAGAGATTTGGGATTCAGCCAGTTCAGGATGAGAGGCAAGTTAGGCTCTGGCATTTATTTAGAAGCTATTTGCCTTGTGGAGGTTACATAATAATATCCCTTTGCCTCTACTTCTGCATTTATAAACTGGGGAAGAGAAGTTCCTGTGTCCTTTCTTGCTGGGAAGGTTAAATGAGCTCGTGCACAGTTAGCCCTGCCCTGCAGGCCGTGCTTGGCAACTTCTCGCTGTTCTAGTAACGAGTTGGGATGTCTGCGCCGGGCAAGGAGGCTGCATCTGAGCCTCGGTTTCTGCACCTGGAGAATCGCGCTGCTCCTGCTTGCCCAGCCAGTCTCTCAGGGGAGGGGTGTTAGGAACTTGTGAGTCTCGCTGTCTCTGGGCCCAGATACCAGGTTGCAGTGTGGAGCAGGCTGGCCCAGCCTGGGTGCTAGTCTGGGAAGAGGCTCCATTAGCAGATTGTTGTAACCAAACACACCAGATGGCCCTGCTGCCCTCCCCCGGCTGCCTTCCCCACCCAGCCAGGGGCTGACGCTGATTCACACCTCCTGGAGGCGTGTGTGTGCGTGTGTGTGTGTGTGTGTGTACGCAATGTGTGCATGATGTGGGGGGGAGATGGGGGAAGGGGTGCCTGTCTCTGTTGTCCTCCCAGCCAGCCGAGGCCCAGCCCGATGAGCAAGCGGCTGATGGACTCACGGGCGGGGACATGTGGTGGCCTTCTCGTCTCCAGAAATGACCTTTGCGGTGAAAGAAGTGGGGAGGAGGTACAAGAGGGCCTAGATATGGTGGCCTTTTCTGGTCCTTACAGCCCTGGAAGGGGTCAGGGGGATGTGCCCCATCCTGACCACAGCTGCCCTCATGGACACGCAGACACACGGGAACACGCATGCCTGCACACACACGGACACGGACGCGCCACGTGGCATAGATGCGTTCACATGGAGGAGCACAGCTGCAAGCGCATGTCCCCCACGGGCCCACCCCGCCTTGGGAGCCTTCATCCCTGTACAGATGCCCCAAGTGCAGCCTCCGCCAGAGGAGGAAGAGGCTGGGGCACAGGCCTGTGTGACGTGTGCGTGGCAGTGAAACCCCATGTGGAACCCATCTTTCAACACATTAACTGCCACGTGAGTTGTATTTAATGCACACAGTTTTGAGCCCGGGGCCTCGTGAAGCACATGTAACTCACACGTCTCTTCACCTCGGGAGCTGCCAGAACTGCCTTTCAAGTTGCATATAACTCTCGCACAGAAAACAATAAAAAAAAAACCCACAAATTTTCCGTTAAATTAGAAAGGATTCTTTTGTTTTCAAAGTTTTTATTCTATTTTCATAATAAAACACCGTGGCCACAAGGAAAAAAATATTTTTCCTAAGTGTGGCAGTCAGTGTGCTAATTCAAGCCTACCAGAGGGGGGCAGGGCAGGAAGGCCCAGGGCGGGTGGCCTGTCAGGGGCCCAGGGCTGGTTCTGCGGAGTCCTGGGCCAGGAGTGGTGCGGCCAGGAGGGACCAACCCTCCCGATAGATGGAAGAGCTGGGACATCCTTCCTCCACCTGACCTGACAGCTCGCCCTGGGCTCCAGTGGTCTGACCTCCCTCAGCCTAGACTGGCTATCATTCATTCATTCATTCGGTTTCCTAAGCAGTAAGGTAGGTTGCGGTATGCCCAGCCCTCGGGGAGCTGCCGCGCTGGACAGGGAGAGGAGGCAGGAGGAGCTGGGGAACGTGACTTCACAAGCTGACTGTGGAGAGGAGGGCACACCTGGGTGGCCATGAAGGACTCAGCCTGCTGGAGGAAACAGCTCTGGCCGGCAGTCGGAAGACTTTGGTTCCCAGTCGCATGGAGCGGGTCACTTACCCCCTGGGCCCCAAGTTCCTGGTCTGTACATCGGGCGGAGCGCTTCCTCCTGACAGGCGCGTTGTGAGGCTCAGGTGAGGAATGAGTGGGAAACCGCATGGCGCTTAAAGTCTACAGATGTCAGGGGCCCCCTGATGCCTGCCTGGACGGTGGGGTGGGGTGCCGACAGAGACCAGGGGCAGGGGCTTTCAAGGGCAGAGGACAGTGTGAGCAAGGTGTGGAAACCAGACGTGGAGGGTGCGAGGGGCAAGCAAGTAGGGGAAGGCAGGGGGGAGAGAGCAGGCGTGTGGGATGGGCAAGCTGCAGGGGATGCCAAGGGAACGGCTGCAGGCTTCATCTTGGCAGCCCCCGAGCTTCTGCTAACCTGTCTTTAGCTGAGGCTGCTCTGAGCCAGGCTGGCAAAGGCAGAGGTCGTAGCACACTCGGCAGCCTTGCGAAGCCCACTGGCACATCACGTTGGTCTTGGAAGGTGGGCAGGGTAGGCTTGATAGAGTCTGTTTTCTGGAGCGGGAAACTGACCCCCGAGAGGAGGTGAATGACTTGCCCCGACAGTGCATAGCAAATTCGCTGCAAGCTGGGTCTCCACTGTACATTCTGGTCTTTCTGATCCAGCAGTCGGCACAGGGGGAAATGACTGGCACCACCCTTCCCCTGGAAGACCCACACTCTGCGAGCTATTCCTCAGCCCATTTGAACACAGCACTAGTGCTGGGCTTTCTGGGCACGATGACCCAGGATCATGGGGAAGCAATTTGGGGGAGCAGATTTCTTCCTGGTGGCCCCATGTCACATGAAGTCTAGCCAAGCCAGGTTACTTGGCATTAAGTTGGGCCCGACAAAGAGTGCTCACCGCACTGGGTGCTTTGGGAGCAAGGCTGGGGCTGGGGTTGGGGCTGTCAACGGCTGAGTCCAGGGCAAACCCCTGGCCCACTGTAGATGGCTGATGACACTTGGGAAAAAGTGTTCCACAAGTAGCCCCAGCCCAGAACGAAGCCCTTTCCCACCCTATCTGAGGAGTGACAATGAGTTAGTTGCACCAAAGAAGGTTCTGTCGACAAACTTTGGAACTCAGGCTTGAATTCAGACTCCCACTTTGCCACATAGTAGGTGTCCCTGAGCAAGTCATTTTACTTCTCTGACCCTCTGTTTTCTCATCTGTAAAAGAGGGATAATGATGCCTATTTTGCAAGGCGGTTGCCAGTGATTAAAAGACATGCTACCCTCATTGCATTCCAGGAGGCCTTCTTGCAGGAGAGGGGATTCCAAAGGTTTCTGGAACATAGGCAGCCTGGAAGGCAGCCCGATTCAGCCTTGGAGGCAGGAGTGGGTCACCCGTCCCTGCTCCAGCCCCCACCTCTCTGGGAGGGTTAGCGATTCTCCAGTGCAGGAAGCGTTTGCTGAGCCCCGATTCTGTGCCAGGCCTGGCCTCCCAGAGCTCCCCATAGGGGCAGCCAGTGGGCACAGAAGGGGAGCAGCTGGGCCCACGCTGGGGCGGCTGAAGGCACAGAGGAGGGGTGGAAGTACTTGGGTTAAGACAGGAAGGCAGCCAGTAAGCAGTACCAAGTTCTACCTTAGATCCTGCTCTGCCCTCTCCAGCGGTGGGACTTCAGCCGTCGTGCCTCCTTCCTCACTGTGGGAAGGGGGTGATGCCGCTCCCCCAGCAGGACTGCTGAATGGAATAAGCAGCACATTTGGAGGCTATAGCAAGTGTCCGTAAAACATTAGCCAAGCTCGTGGTGTCCAGTGGATGGCAGCTCGCTGGGTAGACAAGGGTTGGAGGGCCACTGACAGCAGACGACAGCTTGGGCAAAGACCCCCAGACTTGGGGCAGTGTGGCTTCTTTGGGGAACCTGGAGGCTGTCTGGGGAGGTAGTGAGTGTGGGGGCAGGTGAGGGGCCAGGCCATGGGCCCCACCACCCCTCAACTCTCACTCTAGCAGGAGGTTTGCCCTTGAGTGAGCACAGGAGGGGAGGGTGTAGACATTATTTTAATCTTCCTCTGAAAGCATAATTGCTTCTTGTCGGTGGCGTTCCTAGAGAACCTCCCCATGAGAAAGGAGATTGCTTTCCCGTCTCCTCTCTGCCAGGAGACAGGCAGGGGCTGGGCCAGCTCCACGCTGCATTAATATGCTGCAAATGCGATTTCATGGCCTCAAATGAGATTAGGGCCAGAGGCTCTGCTCTCTGGTACAGACGGCAGGCAGGCGGGTGTCGGTGAAGGGTGGCCGGAGCTGAGCAGGGAATGTGAGGGGAGGGATCCCAGCCGGCTTGGCCTGAATAAGCAGTTTCCTGTAACCGGATCGCCTTTGCAGAGCCTGCCCTGAGGCCCTGGGTAGGGGCCTGGGGCTCAGGGTCAGCCCCAACCCTAGACTCCCCACCGGCACCTAAAAGGGAGAGCTGAGATTAACAACACAGGTTCTGCAGCCAGATGGCCTGGGTCTAAAGCTGGTCTCTTCTGCTCCTGGTTGTGCCTCAGTTTTCTCATCTTTAAAATGGGGACCACAGTAGTACCTACCTCATATGTAGATGTGAGGACTGAGTGCACACCTGTAAAACGCACAGAACAGTACCTGGCACGTCTTAAGTGCTCGCTAGTCGTTAGCTGTTATTATGAGGTTCACACAGGCCAAATATTCACGCCCTAGCAGAGGGAGAAGGCACGAAGGGCTTGGACTCTGGAGGAGGAATGTTTTGGGGAGCAGACGTCACTGTCCGGGCTGAAGTAGCAGGGAGGAGGAAGGCACCAGACCCGTCATCCCTCACTCACTTGCCAAGCACCTGCCTGGTACCAACTCTGTGCCAGGCAACATGCTGGGCCCCAGGGACGGGCAACCGCCAGGCACAGTCCCTGCCCTCAGGGAAGACAGACCCTGTCCCAGAAAAGTCACCATTGAGTCATGAGCCAGGGCAGGGGAGTCCCACGGGCTGTGGGTCTGACGTCGCTGGGGTTGGGGCGGAGACAGGGAGGGAGGTTCCAGAGGACAGTCGTGCCCTGAAGAAGCACCGTGAATTACTCAGGCTGGCGGGGGAAGGACAGCCGGGCCTGTGGAGCAGCCACGCAGCCACGTGAAGGCACGTGTTGGAGAGACCAGCGCCCACTCTGGGACACAGGCGTGCCGCGAGGCAGGAGCAGGGTGTAGGGCAGGGACCCTGGGCGGGGATGGAGGCCCGGTGGGCAGACCATGAGGCCCGCAGGCGTCTCTGGGAGCAAGGGGGCCTCCTGAAGTGGTCACGGAAGCAGGGGGACTCGCTCAGGTTTGCGTGGCTGGAAGAGTGGGGTCAGGGGACACAGATTTGCTGGAAGCTGCTTGAGCCTAGACCCCCAGGCCTCTGCCCTCCGAGTGGACCCGCCAGCCTTGGCAGGGCACCGCTCTGCCCTCCTCCTGGAAGCAATGGCAGAAGGCTTCATTGCTTGCTCCTTTATTCAGGTCCTTGTTAACGAGTTATTGATTTCTCAAAAGAAAAACGCCCAAAAGGCACTTTGCATCTTTAGCAAAGTGATTTACGACATGACGGTGGGACCTCGCTGCCCCAGACGAGAGCTCTGGGTACCAAAGGCTGAGGTGAGCCCTTCAGTGTGGCAGTCAGTGAACGCGCCCGCGAGGCAAAAGGCAGCCGTGTCCCCCAGAGCGAGACCACCACACTCCAGCAGTCACCCCCAGCCTCCTACTGCCAGAGCCGGGGCCACGGGGGTCCACGCTGGCGCGACCTGGTGCATGGGTGAGGGAAGGCTCACTGAGGGGCCGCATGCCATGTGCCAGACATCCATCCCCTTGTCTAACCCTCCTGCTTGCTGGTCTGCTCTGCAGATGAGGAATTTGAGGCTCCAAGGAGTCGGGTAGCTTTGCCCATCCTCACTGCAGGGCCCGGCAGGGCCAGAGTTAAAGCCAGGCCTGTCGGATTCCAGGCTGTCATGCTTTTTGCTGCCCAAATCTTTTTTGCCTACTTGTTGGTGCTAGACCAGGCTGTCCCGGGGGGCCAGAGCCCACAGAACAGGTGCAGCAAGACAGGGTGAGGACTATCACAGAGTCTGCTCTGTAACACAGCAGGGATGCACATGGGTTTAGCCCAGGAGCCGTTTACCAAGCTGATCCAGGTCACCTCTGTGCAGTAAGGAAGCAGGGGAAGGGCAGAAGGCAGCCCCCAGTGCCTCCGGGATCCACCCTGGCCCACACGGCCAGCAGGCCCCGAACAGTCAGCCTGCTCCCAAGGGGCTCAGTTGGAACAAGCAAGCTAGCCCTCGTGACACGAGTCATGGCCCAGAGTGTTGTGACCACACCAACCTTTGGGGGACAAACAACCCCACGGCCCATTTGTGCTGGACAAAGGCGGCTTCTTCCAGACCCCTTGCTTCTGCCCTTGCTGGCAGGGGCTTGCCCTGCGCCCCTCACTCTCCCTTGCCACCGTGCCCGCGGGCCACACTGTCACAGAGCCATCTGTCTGGCCGTATCCAAAAGGCCAGGTGTTTTTGACTTGAATTCCTTCATGTTGCCCCAGTCTCAGGAGAGAAGGAAGGAGAGCAGTGACTCCTTTCCCTGGAATGAAAGGAAAAGGCAGCATGATTTGGTGGCTGGTCACGGACTGGGCCAGCAGGACTGGATTCAATCTTAGCCCTGCCACTTCAAAGCTGTGTGACCGTGGGCAAGTCCATTCCTCAGACCATCTGTGCTCTTATTGTAAAAGGGACTAACAGCAGTCGCTGCGGGAGCAGGAATGTGAGGGTCAAACGAGACAGTGCAGTAAGCGCTTGGCACAGCACCGGGCACGTAGTAAGTGCTCACTGAACGTCGAGGGCGGGGTGTGAAGGTGCTGGTGGTGCCATGCTGGCAGTGGCGCCAGGACGTCAGGCGAGAGCGCAGGCTCAGAGAGGAACTCGCACACGCGCCAGTCAGGCTCTCACAAGGGAGAGAAGGCGCTCAGATTTGTGAGCGTGGGGGAGTTTAATAGGGGCACCATGTGCAAAGTCCAGGGTGGGGTTCAGGAGAAACAAGAGGCCGAGTGCAGCACCCTGGGGACTGGGAACTGTGAGGACCCTTCGTTGCTCCAGTTTGGGAAGGGGAAGAGGAGGGAATGATGGCCTTGACCTAGAGGGGCAGCTGTGGTACGGAGGCAGCTGCCAGGCAGGGTGGCGGTCCCAGGGAAGTGTGTCTCTCCCAGAGCCAGCGAGCTTGGCCTTCCCGTCCCCCTCAGCCCTGTCCGCCCCCACCCCCACTCCTCCCCCATCACTCTCTCCATGTCTTTTGGGCAGTTGAGATGGATGAGGCGGGAAATGTGGGCAGTGTGATTTTGCAGCAAATGGCAGCTCATAGCTGTGTGATCTTGGGCAAAATGTTAACCCTCTCTGAGCTTTAGCTCCCTTCCTTGTCCAGTGGGGCATCAGGGTGCTCTGAGGACCCAAGGAGACAGCGCAGGAAGGCACTCGACACTGACAGTGAAGAGTCCCCACGTCCCGTCCCCGCCCCCGCTTGACCCTGCACAGCGCCAGGCATCCCAGCCCCTCCCTCTCCTGCCGATAGGCAGGCCGTTCCTGTGGCCACACCTTTCCCCGGGCAGCCCCTCACCAAAAGTGTCCTTCCCTTCCTCCCTGAATCCAGTTCATCCTCGGGGTCCTGCTCAAGACCCTCCATCCAGGGGACCCTGTCATCTGCTGTTCTGCACGAGCGCAGGCCTCTCTGTCCGAGGCAACGCCACGCCGTCAGCGCTGCCTGCCACGGCTCTCACCCCCCACGCCGCGTTCGCTCCTGGGGCTTGATACGCACGAGGCAGGGGCCTGGGACCTGGGCGCAGTCCTGCCCCTCCTCGCTTTTTATTTGGACAGCTGTGAACTGGCAGTTCCTTTAGAAAGTCTTTGTGCTCCAACCACCACTCACCCTCAGCCCCAGCAGTGTATACAGCAGGTGCTCACTTGTTGGCTAAAGGATGGAGGTCTCTGAGAGGATCTCTGCCTCTGACTACAGCAGTGAATCCACACCAGGGGTCCTCACACTTTCTAAGCAGGGGGCCAGTCCACTGTCCCTCAGACCGTTGGAGAGCGCGGCGCACATTCCTCACATGCGCACTGGGGCCTGGGAGAGCCGCTAAGCAGGACAGGCAGCGGCGGCCAAAACACCTAGCGGCCGGATAAATGTCCTCGGCGGGCCGCATGTGGCCCGCGGGCCGTAGCTTGAGGACCCCTGATCCACGGCCTGCCTGGCCAGCTCTCCAGGGGCTGCGCTGACCTTGCATCAGCTCTGAGGCTCAGCCTTGGAAGATTCCGCAGAGATCTGAGGGGCTGGCTTTGCCTTGTGCTTAAATCATGGCTCCAACCGGGCCCCCGGAGGCTGGTTCACATCCTGACCCTTGAGGTGCTGGGATGGGTTTAAGCTTAAGTCACTGCAGCCGGAGCTGTGCTGGGGAGAACTTGCCAAGTCCAAGGTTGGTTAGCAGGGAAACAGCAAGCATGTCTGGGGCACTTAACCATCAGTGTTGAGTGCCTTCCTGCGCTGTCTCCTTGGGTCCTCAGAGCACCCCTGATGCCCCACTGGACAAGGAAGGGAGCTAAAGCTCAGAGAGGGTTAACATTTTGCCCAAAATCACACAGCTATGAGCTGCCATTTGCTGCAAAATCACACTGCCCACATTTCCCACCTCATCCATCTCAGCTGCCCAAAAGACATGGAGAGAGTGATGGGTGGGGGAGAGAGAAATGGGGGTGGGACAGAGCTAAGGAAGAAGGGAAGATTGCGTTTGCTGGCTCTGGGAGAGACACACTTCCCTGGGACTTGCTGCATGGGCAGTCAGTCCCAAAGGGCTGACTCCTCGGAATGCAGGCCCTAGACATGGCAAAAGGCGTGGCTGACTCCGAACCGAGTATGTCCGCCCAGATTCTTCTTGCTGCCCAGCAAGGCCCGTGCAAAACTAGGGCAGCAGGACCCCTCCCTCCACAGCAACCAGCCTCAGACCCAGCCACCGGGCTTGCGTCTCCCAGGGCTGTGGGCTCCCTAGTGGCTGTGTTTAACCCTGGTCCTGCCCAGTGACATGGCTCCAAGTGCTCTCTCACTGGGGGACAGGGGGTGCAGGGTTACCTATTACCTTGTGAGATTAATCATTATCTGCTTCCCCTGAATCATCAAAGCTTGAGGCTAGCCCCAGGGCAGGGGAGCAGAAGTTTCCTCTGGACATTTGGGGAGCAGGCGAGTTTCCCTGGGCTGGGGAGGTGGAGCCCCTCTTAATGGGGGAAAGGGAAGAGCAGGCAGAGCAGCTGGGCCCATGCTGTTGTCAGGCCTTCTCACCAGCCAGGAGAAGTCGGTTTGGGGAGGGGGTTATGGTAGGTACAGGGGCCAGTGTCCCAGGGGTCCTTGGTCCAGGGAGATAGACAACCGGCAAGGGAGGTCGTGAGAGGGCCCTCCTTCCCCTGTCTGCTGAGTGTGCAGAGCTGGCTCTCGCTCTGGAGCCAGACGGCCTGGAACCAGTGTCCAATTGCATTATCTTCTTCCCGGGCAGGAAGACCGCAGGGGTGGGGCTGCAGGGGCAGAAAGCTCAGATGCTAGGTAGCGCAGCTGAGCGATAGCCGAGCATGGTGGGGCCAGGACCACAGTGAGGCAGGCTTGGTGGCTGGGGCACAAAACATAAAGAGGCACTTGTGCAGGAAGGGAGCACCCACACAGCCCTGAGAGCAAGTGCCCCCTTAAGTGTGCTTCCTGAGCACCTTGCTTGCCCCTCCAGGCCCTGCTGCAGGGATGCAGGGATGCCCCATCCCCTTCCCCTGCTTTCTGCATAGCCTCCTGGACCAAGCAGGCCTGAGACGGGGGAGGGGCGCTCTAGGGAGTCTAGGGAGCAGCCACTGAGACCCTCTCCTCGCATGACAGTGCTGGCCAAGGAAGGAGATAAAGCATGGTGCTCCCAGCCAGCCCAGAGCCCCAGGGTACCACCCTGGGCAGGCCTGGAGCAGGAGAAAACTAGGAGTGGGGTTCCTGGCTTCCAGCCCCAACCATCTGGGTGAACTTGGCTGGTCCTTTCAGTTCTAATCAAAGGCGAAGCCTCAGTTTTTCTGTCCCTAAATTGGGGAGAACCACATCTTCCCTGCCTCTCTCCCTGGAGTGGGGTGGAGGGGAGCCAAGAGGCTATGGGGTGGTCCTGCTTTGGGCCCCAGGCCAAAGAAGATGAAAAGAATCCCCAATGCAGGGCCTAAAACAGCTGGCTGAATAGCGAGGCAGGCCAGCGGCCTCCCAAACACCCCAGGCAGCACCCAAGTCCCTTCTTGTGCAGCCCAGGATGCCTGACTGTCCTGCAAGGCCCAGCTCAGACCTCCCTCTCCATGGGGCAGCCCCACCCCAGGCCAAGGACATGCCATTTTTCATTCTGCCATCGTGCCCCACAGCAAGCACTGAGAGCCACTCCCGGTGTGCAGGAAGTGCTCAGTGAAAAGATTTGTTATCCTTATAATTTCCTGTGGCACTCAGAACCAGATTAACCATAATCTTTGGTTCATACTCTAGTACCATCATTGGTCCATATATGGCCCTCTTTAATTCTTTGATGATAATTTATTTTCAAAATAGAGTGAACTCCCATTAACTGCCCACCCAATCTAAAAACCAGAATGTTACCAATAACAAATCTACTTATATTTTCCCCCTTCATACCCCCATCTTCCCACCCACCCTCAAGAAATTATCCTCTTGAAGTCTCTGTTTACTATTATCGAACAAATGGAAACTGCAGGCACCCAAACAGTCAGAATGGCTGCAGATTCCAGCCAGAAGACATGAGCCTCCAGCTATTTCTTGGGCCTGTGAGACTTCAGCCCCGCCCTGTGACGTCACACAGCGTTGCCCAGGTGACCCAGCTAGGTGGCAAAGCCCACTTGTTTGCCAAGTCTGGGCAGAGAGAGGCCTACCCCTCTCTTCACCTTCCTGGGGGTGCCAGGAGTCAATTGCCCGGCTGTTGACCCCTGCCCAGGCCATGGCCCAACGCCCCCAAGGCATCTCCACGCACAGAACGTCTTGCTGCTGAGAAAGATCCAGGCCCCCACCCCGACCTGCCCGCCCCCCCATCCAGGCCCCAGAGCTGGTGTGGGGTCCCCCTGAGACCACATCGACCTTCGTATTGTTCACTACCCCTAAAGACTCGAGGGTGCCCAGGCCAGCTGTCTGGGCAGGACTGATGCCTGGTCACCCACCAATTCCAGGTACTGGTCCCCAAGATTGTTAAACAAGGCCAAATACTCCTGCCCCCAAGATGATGGGATGGAAAAAGAAAAAGGTAAGGCTGGGGGCATGAGCCACGTACCTGTGTGAACCCATCCCTCCTTCAAAGTCTCTTATTTTGTTTGCTCTGAAATCATAACAAAAGCTTTCCTTCTCTGGACTTCAGTTTTTGCAGCTGTGAAGTGGGGAGTGAGGTGGTCTCTGTGGCTCCCCCAAGTTAGACCCCTCTACTCTCGGGCTACGTGGGAGCCGAAGTGCACTGGGTTTGCAGGTGTTGTTGACTTCGGTTCTGCCTTCTGTTGCTGGGGGCACGCACGCCCAGAGAGCCTGCGGAGATGGCCCATCAGCCCCTCTCCCCCTCTCCCCGAGATCTCTGGGGGGGTTCCCAGGCTGCTTCCTCGCAGCCTCGAAGCCCCAACGCCCCACTGTCCCCGTGATCTCCCAGCTCTGGCCCTGACCTTCTGGGACCCAGGCCCCTGTCCAGGATGCAGATGCGTCCTGTTTGTTCTGTTCTCTGCTGCATCCCCAGTGCCTGGCACATAGTAGGTGCTTAATTAAAAGCTGTGGATATCCAGACATGGTGGCTCATGCCTGTAATCTCAGCACTTTGAGAGGCCAAGGTGGGAGGATTGCTTGTGCCCAGGAGTTTGAGATCAGCCTGAACAACATAGTAAGACCCCATCTCTTAAAGAAAACAATTTAAATTAGCTGGGCGTGGTGGTGCTCACCTGGAGTCCCGACTACTCAGGAAGCTAAGGCAGGAGGATTGCTGGAGCTTGGGAGTTCAAGGCAGCAGTGAGCTATGATGGTGCCACTGCACTCTAGCCTGGGTGACAGAGTGAGACCGTCTCAAAAAAGAAAAAAAAAAGCTCAGCCAAGCAGCAGAGCCCTGCCAGGAGGGGACTAGAATCTCAGTTCGATGAGATGCAAACAGTTCGATGTTCCCTTACTGGCCGCTAACTGGCAGGGCTGAGCCTGTGCCCTCAACTGTGTCACCCTTAGGGATGGCAGAAGGCACACAAGTACTTGCTAAGTGGGAGCACCCTCTTTGCAGTTACACTCTCAGGTCAAATAAGCCAAATAGCTGGGAGTGCCCAGGCCCCAGTATGAGTTCCGTGTCATTGTCCTTGATTTTGATGTCTCTGGTTCCTGGTGTCCTCTGCCCACAGCTGGCCCCTCCCCAGACTCCACCCTCCTTATTAAGCCTCTTTCTAGAATGCCACACACTCAGGACCAGGCACCAGGCTGGCCTGGGCACTAAGCTGCCAGCTGATTCCCCCTGCCCCAGCGAGCTGGACTCAGGGACCCAGGGAGTGTGCATGGGAGCCCTGAGGAGGAGCCAGAGTTGTGTTTGATTCATAGCTTTTAGAGCATTTTTAATAGCTGGGTAGAATCCCCTGTAAGGATGTTCACACGTATATACACTATTATACATTCATGTTTCTTCTTTTGTGGATCCCCAGTTTATGTCTTTTTATTGGGGTGATGTTTATGGATTTCAGTACTCTCTGTGTATTAGGGATATTAGTACTTTTATATTTCTTGCAAATATTTTCTCCCATTTGTCTTTCCTTTGTACAGCAGTGAATCTTGGACCATTATAGAAGTTGACATAGATATACATTTTTTAAAATGTAATCAAATCTATCAATCCTTTTCTTTATTCTCTCTGACTTTTGTGTCATCTTCTGAAAACTCTCTGCTCCAAATACAACTCTTCTTGCTGCTACAAATGAATACTCAGGTTAAGAGTTCAAGGGGGTACATCGTGGCCCAGAGAAGGAGCCCACATCCAGAGAGGGGCGGTTGGAGCAGAGCAGGGCCACGAGGTCGTGGAGTCAGAGAGACGCTGGCTCCAGCCTGGCTCTGCCCTGCTGGCTAAACTAAACTGTGTGCTTTGGGGCGAGAGGTCTAGTCTCTCTGAGTGCTTCCTCACCTGTGAAAAGCCTCCTCACCTGGCCACCGCAACGCCCAGGTGAGTTTAGATGCCGACACTAGAAGGAACACTAGGAGCCATTTCTAACTCAAGGTCCTCGTGATGCTGCTGAGGAAACAGGCCGCTCCTCCCAGCACAGCCTCTCCGCGCCTTGGCTCGCAGACAGGCCCTTCTGGGGCAGAACTGGGCCTCTTAGCTTCCGGCCTCCCAGAATGCTGGGGGAGGAGGGGTGGGCCGGGAGGAGGGAGAAGGGGGTGGGGGTGATAGAGTCCGGCTCCTTCCATCCCTGTCCCCACCAGGGCCAATGCAACCCCTCCCACTCATGGGAGCCAAATTGAGTGGGCCATTAACTCCTTCCCCTTCCCTGTTGGTCCTACCCTCCCACTGCCACCCCTCTCCCTCCCCCCACCACACACATCCAAAAATGCCCCAGGCGATGGGCAGTCCCAGGGCCCCTGGGCCATCTGCTGGCCAGGCCCAGCCTACCGAGGGCAAGGCCGCCCATGAGGACAGGTAAGGCGCCGGGATTAGCTGCTCTGAGCTTGCCCACACACCAGGCCGCGAGGAGGAGTGGACAGTGCCATACTCTGGCACCAGGCTGGCTTCAAGCTCACACCCCAGCCTGCCACCCACTGCTGTGTGGCCTCGGGTGGCAGGGAAGCTGGCCAAGCCCCTGCCTGGCAAAGCTGCCTCCTGAGGTCTGCACCCTGCACGGGCTAACCGAGAGCAAGCCTGAGAGGCCGAGAGGGGGTGCTCAGGGGAGGGAAGTCCCTCTCAGGGCCTGTCACACCCCAGTAGGTGAGTTTGTGGGACCTGACAATTAGGGGGATTTCACCGTCACTCACAGTTCAAACCCCTCATACAAACCAGCAGGTGTGCCCCCTCCCTCATAAATCCTGCAATGCAGGCCAGGGGCAGGGGACGGGGACGTTGGTTCTGATGCAGGACATCTCTGAGGAAGCCTGCAGGTCCTCAGATTTCCATCCAAACATGGGAAGGAAGGAGGGGAAGGCAGAAGAAGGGTGGCGGCCCTGGCCCACCATCCCCGCTCCAGGCCTCCCCTGTGGCCCCAGGCCTCCCTGGCCCTGGGCCTGGCCTGCCTGGTGGCACATGCCTGCAGGGCTCACCAGGAGGAGCCAGCCTGGCAGCTGGCCTCACACCCAGAGCTGAAGCAGGAGCGGTTCTTGCCAAACCCTTTGCAAGCTTTATTTCCCAGAAGGCTGTCCCCACGGGGAGGCACGGAGAAGGCATAGAAGGAGGGTACAACTCCTAGCCTGGTCTGCAGATGCCCAGCTGGGATCCAGGCTGCCAGGGAGTCAGTGGGAACCCCTGGACAGTGGCCCTGCTTCTCGGCCCTCACTTCTGTGGCCCTAGGGAGCTCATGACAAGCCCTGTGCCCTCACAGCGACAGGGGGATCAATCTCGGGCCGGGAGGGCCATTACTCACCCCTCCCAGCCTCACTGCAGGAACTTGAGGCACACTGAGCACTGGAAAGGCATCAAAAAGCACTCCCGACATTCCCGTTGGCCAGGTGGGAAAACTGAGGCCCAGATTCGTGGCACAAAGTTGGAGACGGAACTGGGCTGAAACCTAGTCCTTGCTCCTGGGCTGCTAGTCTCGCCGCTACACACTGAGGGGCACAAAGCTGCTGGGCGTGGGCTGGCTAGGTGCAGCCGGTGAGCTGGTCCTGGGAAGAGGCCGTCCGACCCATGAGGGCACGGGGCGTCTGAGGGCACTGCCCCCTCATTCTTGCCTGGCAGCAGAATACAGGAGGGGAGCGGCAGCTCTCATCAACACCTTCCCAGATGGTGACAGGCCCTGCTGGGTCCTGGGGGTGGGGGCGACCTCCTCAGTCAGGGGAAGGGGGGGTCTCTGTAGGGCTGGCACTTCTGCCTTCGGGGGGGTTCTCACCTCCTAATTAGTCACTAGGGTGTGGGCAAGGGACAGGAATGACAGTGTAGGCAGAGGGAACAGCCAGGGCAAAGGCTGGGAGGCGGGGGGGGCTTGGTGGGGACAAGAAACAGCTAGGAGGCCCGTGTGGCTGGATGGAGTGAGCAAGGGCGTGGGACAGATGAGGTCAGTTTCCCTGCCAGTGAAAGGCTCTGAGAGAAGTGGGGAGCTACTGCAGGACTGTGAGCAGAGGAGAGAGGTGGTCCCATTTGAATTCGTAAAGACCACTCTCACAGCTGTGTGGCATGGGACAGGGTAGAGGGACAGCCAGAAAGGAAACAGAGGAAGCAATCATGAGGATAGTGTGGGCATCGGGTGTCCGGGCACCAGTGTTTGAAGTGGGGATGGTGAGAAGCGGTCAGCGTCTAGATGGGTTTGGAAGTGAGCGGCCACCGTCTGCCGCCCGGCTGGAGGTGGCGTGTGAGATTTAGGAGTCACGGCAAGGGTGCCTTCAAAAGCAAAGGCGTGGAGACGAGGCGGCCTCTCTCACTCTTCAGGACGTGAGGGTCCAGGACCAGGGGAAGGGCAGAGAGGTCCTGAGAGAGGTGCGGGGTTCAGTGCGGGGTGGGGAACCGAGGTAGGGAGAAGATGGGGCAAGGTGACTACCTTCCAGAGTGGGTGGAAGGAGACAGAGGGAGACAGGCACTAGGAGGGGAGCCGTGGGGGGCTAGAGGTTGTAGGGTGGCAGTAAAGGGAGGTGCCACATTGGAAGAGGCCACTCAACCCAGGCTCTCCCCACAGAACATTGATATCTCAGAGGAGCCCCTGGACACCTCCCAGAGTGCAGAATCTGAGATCAGCCACCTGTCTCCCCCTAACAAGGAGACCATCGTGCTCACTTTCCACGGGGCCACCAATCTACCCCTCTGCAAGGACGGCTCTGAACCGTGGCCCTATGTGGTGGCGTAAGTAGCTGGGCGAGAGTGGGGGCAGGGGACGTGTGGGGGCTGTGAGCAGGAACCAGAGCATGGCCATTGGTACATGAGCACCCAAAGGTCAAGGCCTGGGACCGTGATACCCAGTGGGGAAGTGCCAAGTGTGACTCACATGGGGCTGTGCGCTCTACAGATGAGAGGCCTGGCATCTTCCCTGCTGCATGGCAAGCTGCTCACCAGAGCTGGGGACTGAGGGGCGACAAAGGGTCCAGAGAGCCACCCCTAGATCCCACACCAACTGGGCAGGGCTTGGCCACAGCTCAACCCCAGGGGGGCAGGGCCCTTGCATGCAGAGGCCTGGCTGGGCTCAGTTGGGGGCGATGGGCAGCGGAAAGGGAGACTTGGGGCTGCCTCTCCTGGCCTCTGGGTGCCCCACCCACCCATGTATAGCCCTGGGGTAGAGTCCTCACAGCTGCCCTCCCCTGAGGCTGCCACCCCTCCCCCAGTCATTTCCGTCATTGGGGCTTCCCACGCTCCGGTCCTTCAGTGCATCCACATGCCGCCACCAGCCAGCTGCTGTCAGGGCACACACCTCTCAGCCTGGTCCCCAGGCTGCCATGCCATGTCCGCTGCTCACTCTGCAGACCTGGGCACCACATCTCCTGCAGCCAGCCTTCCGTGTCCATGCAGACTGGGCTTCTGCTCAGTCTGTATTGTAAAGCACCATCCTGTATCCCTCTCCAAGGAGTTTGTCGTCCCTTAAATCCCCTCTGTAGACACTGGGAGCTACACGACTTCTCCCCAAGGCACCCTACGCTTCCCTTCCTCCACCAGTATAGCATCACCCAGTTCCCGCCAACGGTCTGTTTCCCTCTGTCCTTCAGGGGCCGCCTGCCCCAGCCCTCTCACCAGCACCTGCTGAGCCCCCTGCACAGCCCTGCTCAGGACGCCCCCTTCCGAGCAGCCACCAGAGTTGAGCCCTCCCCACTCTGGAGCCCAGGGTGGTGGCAACACTGGTCTGAAGCACTGTATGTAAATTGTGGTTTCCTGCTCCTCTTCTGGCCCCAAACCGGGGCTCCCTGAGCATGGATCCAGGCAGGTCGCCTCCATTTCTCCAGCAATGCTCCCAACACAGACCTGAGCACAGACCGAGGGGCCAAGGAGTCACTGAGACAAGCACCTGGTCCCTATGACAACAAGCCCCGCCCTGCCGCCCCCCCCCCCAGCGAAGGGGATGGGCGCCTTGCTGGACACCAACAGGTGAAACACTCTCTCCAAAGCCCGTCTGCGCCAGCCCAGCTCCCGGCCCTCCCCTCCCCCAACCCCATTTCGGAGATGACGGAAGGAAGGACAGGTGGCGGGAGCAGGCTTGGCAGGGAGGCTGGTTTCTAGCGGGGAGCGGCTTTCTCCCCTCAGTTATTTCCATAAACCAATTATCACCGATCATCTCGGGAGATTGAGGCCCTGCCTGTCACCAATCCAGCCTGGGCGGTGGGGCGGGGAGCTGGGTGGCCGTGTTGCTCCTCAGCAGGCACAGCGACCCAAGCCATCACCCCGTTGCCATGGGAACGAGCAGCTGGAGCCTTGAGAGCTGGGGGCTGGGGGTGAAGAGCTGGGCACACCCGGAGTCCGCCTGCGCCCTCCTGGCAGCTGTCATGTGAGGAGGGGACACAGTGGCAGGGAGGGCCGGGGAGGGGAGAAAGGGTGCATCGCTACACCCTTCTCCACTGTCCCAGTGCTCCAGGCAGAGCTGCCACCAGCTCGAGGTGGTGCTAATGAGATGCAAATGAAATGAGAAGGGAGGGCTTCTGAATGCAGTCCCAGCTGTCCGGCTTGTTGCTAGCCCTAGCCCAGGCAGGAGCCCCAGAGGAAGGACCCAAACCCCGAGAGGCCACAGACCCGGAAAGAATTTGATGTCCTTGCATGTCTAATTATAGATACATAGTAACGAAGCATGCACTAGTCCACTAGAGTTTTCATTTTGCTCATGATGAATATTTCAATGCTTTAAATGTTTATTTATAAAGATTTAAAGGTAACACCTGAAACTGTAAAAGTCCTAGAAAAAACTCAGGGGAAAAGCTCCTTTATATTGGTCTTGAGACCAACTGGGAATGATTTTTTTGATATGACTCCAAAAGTATAGGCAACAAAAGCAAAAATAAACAAGTGGGACTGCATCAGACCAGAAATTTTCTATACATCAAACATCCACAAAATGAAAAGGCAGCCTATGGTATGGGAAAAAATATTTGCAAACCATGTATCTGATCAGGAGTTAATCTCCAAAATACATGAGGAACTTATACAACCCAATAGCAAAAACACAAATAACCTGATTTAAAAATGGGCAAAAGGACCTGAATAGAAAAATTTCTGAAGAAGACACACAAATGGCCAACAGGTCTATGAAAAGGTGCTTAACATCACAGTCATCAGGGAAATGCAAATCAAAACCACAATGAGATATCATCTCACACCTGTTAGGATGGCTGTTATTAAAAATACAAGAGAAAACAAGTGTTGCCCAGGGTGAGGAGAAAAGGGAACCAACCCTTGTACAATGTTGGTGGGAATGTAAATTGGTACAACCAATATGAAAAACAATATGGAGGCTCCTCAAAAAATTAGAAATAAAACGACCATATGATCCAGCAATCCCACTGCTGGGAATATATCCAAAGGAAACAAAATCAGTATCTCAAAGAGATATCTGTACCCATATGTTCATTACATCGAATTTCACAATAGCCAAGATACAGAATCAACCTAAGTGTCCATTGACGAATGAGTGGATAAAGAAAACGTCACGTATCTGTACAATTGTGTATATTGTATACATCGTGTGTATATGTATATATACACACACAAATGAAATATTATTTGGCCGTGAAAGAGAGAACCAGGCATTTGTCACAACATGGATGAGCCTGGAGGACACTATGTGAAGGGAAATGAGGCAGACACAGAAAGGCAAATACTGATGATCTCACTTACCTGTGGAATCCGAGTGAACTCGTATGCAGAAAGTAGAAAAAGAAAGTAGTAGTGGTTGCCAGGGGCTGCGGGTGAGGGCCATGAGCAGATGTTGGTCAAAGGGTACAAGCTTTCAGTTTTGAAAGATGAGTGAGCTCTGGGGGTTTAATGTGCAGCAGGTGGCTGTAGCTAGTGATGCCGTATTGCGTATTTGAAGTTCGGTAAGGTGATCCTAATTGTTCTCACCACACACACACTCACACACACACACTCACACTCACACACACTCACACACACACACTCACACTCACACACACACTCACACACACATGCTCTCACACACTCACACACACACACTCACACTCACACACACACTCACACACACACACTCACACACACATGCTCTCACACACACTCACACTCACACTCACACACACTCGCACACACATGCTCACATACACACTCACACACACACACTCACACTCACACTCACACACACACACACATGCTCACATACACACTCTCACACACATGCTCACACACACACTCACATACACTAACACGGTCACACACACACTCACACTCACACGGTCACACACACGCTCACACACACACATGCTCACACACATGTTCACACACATTCACACACACGCTCACACATTCTCACACACACACACTTACACAGACTCACACACACTCACACAACTAACTCACATTCATACACACACTCACGCTCACACACTCACATGCTCACACACACTCACCACAACTCACACTCACACTCATACACACACTCATACACCCACTCACACGCTCACACACACTCACACACACAACTCACACACACTCGCACACACACACATACTCACACACTCACACACACTCACACACACACTCACACACAAGGTAACTACATGAGGTGATGAATGTGTTAATTAACTTGATTGTGGTAATCACTTCATAACGTGTACATGTCAAATCATCACATTGTATACTTTAAATCTATACAATTTTATTTGTCAATTATACTTCAATAAAGCTGGGAAAATATGCATATATAAAATTTCACATTCTTTCCAAACATACTTTTCTCATCCCTTTGCTGCCCCTGTTTTCTGGTGCCCTGAGCGTGGTCTCCGAGCAAGGTGTCCTGTCTCAGCCATCCCATGCTGTCTCACCTCTGACTTTGGCTGGGGACTCCGGGTCCCTTGGTTCCGTCGTCCTCTCTGGGCTTGCTGCCCCCCAGCAGGCAGGCCCACAGTCGGGGTGGGGGTACTGAGGCACAGGCTTGGGAGTGCTCAAAGCCATCCACTCATTCGCCACGTTGGTGGGGAGCTCAAGAGGGTTCAGGCCCAAAGATGGCGCCTGCTTGTTTGGGGCTTGGCTGCTTTACCTGTTACGTGGCACCAGCCTGAGCCAAGCTGGTCCTGGAGCACGTCCTCCAGTCGAAACTACTCCAGACCGGAAGGTGCGCCCAGCTCGCCCTGTGCTGCGCCCCTCGCCACCTAACCCCGGCCTGCTCCCATTCACCCCGCTTCTCCATCAAAGCCGCTTTCCCCACGGCCCCGAGCCACCACCATGCCTGACCCTCTGTCCAATGTGCGTCTCGTCTTACATGATCTCAGGACATCAGCCTCTTGGGACCACTCAATCTCTTCGAAGCCCTTCTCCTCTTCCAAGATCCCCTACTCTCTTCCCTCCTCGTGACCACGCCTCTCTGTCTCTTCTCTCTGGCGTTAAATGTCGGCCTGTCCCAGGTTTCAACCCTAGGTTGCTCTTCTTTCCTACACTGCACTCTCTCTCCATGTGATCCCATCCCCAACCTGGGGGCAGGAGAATCTCGGTCTTCACCCCATCCACTCTGTCACCATGTCAGGTCTCTCCTGCCTCTCCAAGTCAGCGGCTTCTCTCCGCCTGCCCCACCCACTCAGGCCACTGCATGCTTTCCCCAGCTGCTCTTGGTACATCTCAACTTGCCCCTGCAAAGTCCCTTCAAACCAAAGGAACCCAGTAGCTTCCCCTTGTTCCTGGAGCAAAGGGGATTCCAGGCCCGG